TCCACGGGTCTAGTCAGCAGAAGAACATTTTCTCTCCTTCTCATCACTTTTCTCCTGATATTCTCCCTCCATGTAATCATCCCCTCACAAGCGTTTGGATGTTTATAATGCCCCAAGCAAGGGAAGAAAAAATGATGAGAATATTGCTCTCCTGGCATGCAAGAAGTCTTTATGCCTTCTTCCTTGTTATATAACTGAGGCTTATTTCTTAAATATCTCTTACAACTTCTGTCACAACTTCCCAGAGAAACACGAAGCTTGGTGAAGGGGACTGCTGTGCGGCAAGCCAGCTCCCAGTGTGACCTCCCCGCCCAGGCTGCTGGCTCTCTTCCTCAGAGCAGTGACACAATGATCAGCAACACACAGAAGAGAAGGCAGAGTTGGGACCCTCTTCACGGTGGCCCCGCAGGTTCTAATCCTGAACCTGGGTACCTTGGCAGCATGTGATGAGCCTCAGAAGTGTTGCCAGAGAATGGCAGAGGATTTGCAGTGACGATCAGGATACAACTGGAGTCCTGTCCTTAATAACTGACCCATGCACTTTCTACATACAGGGAGCAGATTACACGTTCCAAGACCCTGAGCTGAGGTATGCTATTTTGTGAGTTACAGACAAAATTGTTCCTCTCCTCTCATCATAGGTCATAGGTCATCATCTCAGAAGGACTTCTGTGGTAGGAAATTCTCTTCTACAAACACACACACACACACACACACAGATTTGGGATAGACCCTTTCTAAAACTAGAGAAAAATGCAGTCCCATAGCAAATCTGAATGGGATATAATCCCTTTTCCCCTTTACTTTTGTTAAACCTAAGTTTACGGTCCCTTTTGTCAAATCAGCACACTTCTGCAATCATTATGGCACAAAATAAATAGAACCCTTAAAAAGAAACAGCAACTGAGCGATTTCCAAATAATTATGTTGTAAATTATACAGTGAGAAAATCATCTTTTCCTAATTCCATAACCTACAAGCTATAAAATACCTGTTTTCCAAGTTTCTTCAGGTATTCACAAACATGTGCTAAGGTCACATTAGCTTGCCATATCATACAAGGCTTTCAAACTATTTTAAGAAACACTGGAGAAGTCAGCTTTTCTGGACTCTACATGCCAATTTTTCAGATTTTAAATCCTTACCTCCCAGTGGCTCGAATGAAAGCACAAAATATGAGAGAGCTATAGACTGAATGAGTTTTCCCATAATTCATACATTGAAGGCCTAATTCCCAGCGTGATGGTGTTAGGAAGCAGGAACTCTGGGAGCTAATTAAGTCATGTGGGTGGAGTCCTCATGCTTGGAGGAGTCCTGCTTACTCTCTCTCTCAGCCACGTGAGAACCAACCTGCAACAGTCTGCAAACCTGGTTGAGAGTCCTCACCAGGAACTGAAGCAGCCACTGCCTCAACCTTGGACTTCCCAGCTTCTAGAACTGTGAGAACTAAATCTGTCACACTGAAGCCACCCAGTCGAAGGTATTTTATTATAGCAGCCCAAGCCGATTAAGACACAGAGTACCTCCAAAAATGAATAAAAGCAACCAATGGCCAAGCCACAGAATGATCACACCAAAAGAAGTTTAATTCCTTTTTTATTAAAGAATTTGTGTATTTTAAAAAGATTCATGAATGTTTGAAAGGCAGAGCAACAGAAGAGGAGAGGGAGAGTGTCAGATCTTCCATCCGCTGGTTCACTGCCAAGGTGCACACATCAGCCAGGGAAGGGCCAGGCAGAAGTCAGAAGCCAAGAACTCCATCCAGGTCTCCCTTAGGATGTCAGGAACTCAAGATGTGGACCACCCTCCATTGCCTCCCAGGCATGTTAGCAGGAAGCTGGACTGGAAGTGGAGGCAAGACTCAATTCCATGCACTCCACGGGACGCAGGTATCCCGAGCAGCAGCTTAACCCACTGCACCACAACACCAGCCCCTGCTTTAATTCCTTTGAAGACATTCACCTTCCACAGATTCTTCAAAGAGGAAGCCTGCAGTAGTCTCATCCCAAAGCAAATGATTCAGTGATTTTATGAACAAGAGTGGGAGCAAAATGTGAAGTACTGGTCTCTAACAACTATGCACATGTACAATAGGTGAAAATACCCAACTCAGGTCTACATCCCCATCCCTTTGTGCCCACTCTGGCAAAAAAAAAAAAAAAAAAAAATTCAAATGTGAAATAAAGAGATATGCTTTCTCTATGGGGGATGAAAAACATCATGTAAACACCTCTGGGTTAACTGAAGGCCAGCAAACTGTAACGGGAAAACTTTTGGTCTTGGGGCCAGAGGTGCAGCAAGTCCTGGGGCTTAAGAGGAGCTTCTATGGTTTTGAACTGATTTGGCTCCCAAGTTCATGCAAATATTTAAACATCAATGTCATTAGTACTAGGAGGTGGAACCTTAACCCAATTATGGTGATTAGGAAGTGAGCTTAGTAGTAGAAGGTCATTACTTGCACATAGGCCCTTTGGAAGGTCACTCTCACAAGAGCATTGGCTATGAAAGCCAGAGTGAGGCAGGGCTGTTCCCTCTGCTTCCTGGCTCACCATACTTGTTCCTCCATACACTGCTCCTCCATTGCAGCCTACTGCCATCATCAGATGCCAAACCAACATGGCCACCCAATCAGGAACTGTGATTACAACTATAAGCTAAATAACCTTTTTCTCTTTATAAAGTTAGTCTCCTCAGATATTTCAGTATAACTGACACGGGAGAGAACCAAAACCAGATTCTAAAACGCTGGGCTTGGTGAGGAAATGACTGAGGAGTAAGAACTAGAGGGAGAAAATGGACAAATGGGACCTCCCAGAAGCAGCTGTGGAAATGGGAGAGCATGTGAGGTGCCAGTTAGGGGTGATCCCCTCTTGCATCTAACCAGTGGGAGCATGGGTGCCACACAAGCCCTCCAGGTCAGACCCTCACACACAGAACTGGCTGCCAACTGCACCACCAAAGATTCCTATATAAGGAAGCCAGTATAAAATTACCTGAGTCTGTAATCTCATTCTATATATAAACAGAGAAATTTCTGCTCGGTTGTAATATGCTTTGGATTTTCAGGGATGCAACTGGAATAATCCATCAATCGACCTGCACAGCGGTGACTAGGAGCAAGGACAGCAGAACTCGGCTGCCTCGATTCTCATCCAGTTCTGCCATTAGAGGCTGTGGGCCTGTGCATAGCTCCCTCGCTTGTAAAATGGGAATGATGGCGGCACCCACCTCTTAAAGGTGGTAGGTGGGTAATGAGAACAATGCCAGGCACTTGGTAAGCCATTAAAGCTGATTTGTGAATACCTTTATCAAGAAGTGGCCACATTTTAGAAAGCTATATTGTTAACATCACTCCCATTCCTGGTATTGAATTGTCAGTGTGGCCAGCCTGTACTGATTTGCATCTATAGCTACCACACATGCACACACACACACACACACACACACACGTATGTAGGAATACACAAACATACACATATGCACAAAGTATGCGCCTTGCTTCATTATGCAACATCATCACTCTAGAGCACTTACATATGAAGACGATGATTCCACTGCAAAATATTCATATTTGTTTATGTTCCAGTTAGGATGCTATATTGATCTGTATGGTTAGAGACTGGTTTTATCCCTTGGCCATTTCATTTCAGAATAGCAAAGGAAATGCTTTTATGAGTGAAGGTAAGCTTCACACACACAGGATTTTCACTGGATGATCACAAAGTGTAGCTATAAAATATGTATTATAGAATAGATGGGGGCTGAGTTGTGCCTGGCACGGTTGAAGGACACAGCTCTAAAGCACCCTATCAGGAAGTGCCCCCCTGTATCTTTGTGTGTTAACACAGGCCCATCATGAAACCCGGTGCACCATCAGGGCAAGCAGTTTCCATTCTTTGCTAAGAAAATCCATATTAAGCTACTGATAGATTTCAACAGAATTTTATACATTTTTTTAGCAGCAGTATATTTTTTAAACACAGTTCAGGAGAAAACATTAAATAAAAATACAAACAAAAACAAAATTGCAGGGCGCAAAACAAATGGGACCCCAGAACCTTCTCTGGTCCATCTGGGGGCCTCAGGGGAATGGAGTCTGAGAAGCACCAACCTGGTACAGTAGCTGAAGTTGGGCACTGCTTCTAGCTGTTAAGACTCAGTCCTGAAAATTCATTTTGATGATGGTCAATCAATTCACAAGTGGCATTTGCTCTACAGGAAGTGGGTCACCCTGCCAGTCAAGACCTCTAAAGCTTTGAACTCAATAAGTAGTGGGATTACAGGTACTAGGAACCCTCCCCTAAGTTCAGACAGCGACAAAATGTGTTGCCACTCCACTGTGGGCACAAAGCCAGCTCAAACCGTCAAGTGGTAAGGGCTGGCTCTCCTCAGCTCCTTGCCCGTTCCCAGGGCCCTGTGACTAGACACTCTGCCATCATGTCCCGTGGTCGGCCCCCAGTGAATCCCACACTCCAAGTCTCTTTTATCCCTGTCTAACACCCGAGGATCCTGCCTGCAATGCCCACGTTTCCACTGCAGTTCCCTTGGAGGCTGATGGCCAAGCAGCTGGGCTGTATTCAACCACATTCCCTCGAGTGGCTGCTAGCCGCTTAAGCCCCAACGGAGGCATTTAAGAGCAGGAGGTTTTCCAACGCTGGTGAATTTCTCATGGTTTGAATTTCAGGCAGTTCAGCAAAGAGAGGGACTGGGGGCTAGCCTACCAGATTAGCCTGGGAACATTCCTCGGAAAATTCACCAAATGTGATTTTACTCTTTACGCACTTTCTGAAGCTCCTCAATTTCTAATCCGTAAAATCCTAAAATGCTTGTGAGGGTTTATTCTGTTTTTTGTTTGTTTGTTTGTTTGTTTTTTTAACAACCATGTCCATGCTGGCAACAGCCACGGTGGTTACCTTTAAGTCTGACAACACCTTGAACACTCATTCTCATTAGCTTCATATATGACACAAAACAACACTTCAATTACATGTGACTAAGAGTAAGAAAAATATACAACTGTATTTAAAACACTTAAATTAACAAGATAGTACTTTTCCATTCTAACAAAATATCATACATTCAGTTTAAACAAGTTAATATCCAGACACACTTTTCCAAAATACCTGATGCTAGTTGAAAATTAGTGACCATGAGGTTTTCCAAGATATTTCTAGTAAGAAAAATGTGCACAATTTTGGAGAACTGCAAAGGTTTTTTTCTGGAAGATGGACATTGAAAAGGTCAAAATGCAAACTGATGTATCTCTCATAAAACTAAATCTCGCTGCTTTGCTTTTCTGAATGAGACTTTGGCAGTCAGCAAGTCTGATAGCTTCTTTTCCCTTAGAGAGGACAATATATAACAACACAAAGGGCCACACACTTCTTTGTGTATGGTCACAAAACGTGCATCCATGTATATCAAAATGTATCCATGTGTTTCTGCATTAACTGACCTACACAGAGACTGGATTCCTCCAGTATAACCAAACTACACTTATACCTCAGCTCTGAAAGTATCAGTCGTTTGACACCTGTTATATAGTCAAAGCTGCTACACTTACAGATATGGAATATAGCTGCAAAAATCAAACAAAAATGTTTCCTCCACTGGCTCTTTCGGGTAAAGAAGTTGGACCACAAACCAAAACCAACACATCTGTGTGACAGACAACTGCCCCCCAATCTCAGTACCCATACACCCCTCAAAAAAAAAAAAAAAAAAAAAAAGGAATGAGGCCCCCAGTTCCACACTGACCACCACAATTCTGGCCAAGATGCCCGCATTTATGGAGTGTCTCCATGTTCCGACTCCAGGGAAGCAAAAAAAAAAAAAAAAAAACACCACAAAACAGAAAAAAGCAGACCCTACCCACCCGCATCCCTCCTTCTGCCTCCACGAGCCAGCACTTTAAAGATCCTCTGGATTCGTTGCCATCCAGTGACTTCGAAATTCTGAGATGGGTAGTCTCCAACTTTCAAACAGAGAGAAAGAAAGGAATCGCGTGAGGTCAGGATGTAATACTGTGGCTGAAATCCGCAGGGCCCAAGCAAAGAAGGCACTTGTAGCGGGAGACAGGTAGGCGTGCCGGAAGTGCTCTCAGTGTGTCAACAGTTTCAGGCGCGTGAGCCAGCTGACCAGCACGGACCGCTCCGTGGAGGACTTGGCTGCTGAGCTGCCGGATTTCTTTTTGGTCCCCTCCTCCTGGAATGGGATGGTGGCGCTGCTGTGCAGATCGGAGTTGATGTAGCACCTGCTCCCGCGGATGTAGTCTGCACCCCGCACCAGATGCCGCTCCGTGGCGGGCCTGGAGAAGCGGTAGGAGGGAGAGGCGCTTTCTTCAATGATGGGAGGAATCCGCTCGTTACTGAAATACCGGCAAAGAGCTTCTTCCCCTGTTTTCAGACAGAGCCCACAGTGTATTAAAAGAACAACCCAGGGCACCTGTGCCAACTAGCGCAGCCACCACACCCTGCTCTCTCCCTGGATGGGCTTCCATGCAACCAGGCCCACTTCATGAGGGTACAGAAAGCAGAAATGGAGAAGCCCTCCATGCCTATGGCTGCTGTAGCAGGTGACACAGGGCCAGGAGGAACCAGAGAGCCCACGCTTCTCTGCCAGTGTGCCAATCTTCATAATTTCACTTGAAATCGAGAAGAAAGAAAGAAAGGGGCATGATTCTGTCACTTGTCTCCTGCCATCCTGATGCCTGCAGGGTTATCTTCCCTGGGACATCCCTAAGGAACATTTAGGAAGGAGAAGGGGGTGCCCCTGCTTGTTAGCCTGAAGGAAGAACAGGCACTGTTCACCTGCACTGGAAGGGGATTGAAGATTTTAATGCCTGCAATGCTTGGAAGCTTTCCTGACCAAGAAGAACGAACCTGTCCTAAATGCCAAATGGCCCCCGGTGATAGGGTAGGGAGAGGTATTTAAGAAACTGAGTAGAAATTTAAAATGCAGGACACATCGGCAACACTCAGCGTTCTTCAGAAATTGCACATCTGAAAATCTGCAGAGATCTGTGTACAAGGATGCTTACTGACAGGTTCATCACCAGGGAAAAAACCAGAAGCGACCCCACTGCCAGCAGCAGATTGAATAAACAGGTGGCAGAGCCGTAAGAGGCAACACTAACACAGTTATTTAAAAACGGCATTTTCTAGATAATTCTCACTCTACAGGGCCTCGGTGGATATTAGTTTCTTGCATCTTATATACATTTTTGTCTTAAGTGTATGATTCGAAAATACAGGAACAACTACAGCATTCACAGTGATTACTGTCTAGATGTTCTTCAATGTACTTGTTCTGCTTCTGTAATCAATATCACTTCTTTAGAAAGTGCCCACTGTCAAAACACCTCCTATTGTATGAGTCTATGAATATTTATATGAAATGTTCAAATCAGGCACAGCCTAGGCACAAAACGGAGGAGGGACTGTCGGGAGCTGAGAGTGAAACAGAGTGACTGCTAACAGGTATGGGATTTCTTTTGGGGTGATGCAGTGTCCTGGAGTCAGAGAGAAGTAACTGATGCACAATGCTGTGAATATACTAAAAACCACTGAATTGTATTCTTTAAAGGGTGAAGTTTATGCTGGATGAGTTACATCCCAATAAGGCTGTGATTTTAAGGTGGTCATGTATATATAATGTCTTGTATTCTAAAACAATCACACAAGAAAAATGTGGGAGAAGAAAGGAGAACGAATATTCTTCAATTTCCCCATTTCATATTCTCTAATCCCCATTTGCATGTCTCAATATATAAAGAAATAAAAGGCTAAATCTAGGCTCCTAAGAATGGCAATGAAGATGTGAGCATTCCTGATTCTAAACAAAGGACAGTCCTGCCACCTGCTGACTGCTCCACAGATCTTCACGTTACATAAGAGTATCTTGAACTATGGGCTGGCATCTCTTCTTGTCCCTTTGTCACGTTAGCAGAATCCAAATGACGCAGGTCCCCAGGTGACAAACATTACCGAGTCCCTAGTAGATATTAGGGACCAAACACGTTGGAAACTGAGGCCTCCAGAACAGTGTTCTTTTTCCCTTCTTCTGCCTGAAGTCTACTGTACTTTAATTCCTCCCCTGCACTGTTCCAACACTGCAAGAGCAATGTGATGATGCTCTGCCAACACTGATAATCAAATGGAATCGGGCAAAAACGTATTATGCTACACATTTCCCTTAAGACCAATGTAATAACTACGAACTTTGACTACAGGGCAAATTAAACCCAAATTTCTTTTCAAATAGTAATAATTTTCTAACACAAGAAAAGGACTGGGAAGGAAAAAAAAAACCCATGCTTGTTCATCAGAAATCAAAACAGACTCCAGTAATAATCATCATAAAATTTAAGATGAGATGGTTCATAAAGAATTTATTTCTACTTGTTTAAAAAGTAGACCAGGGGCCAGCACTGTGGTATAGTGGGCTGAACCTCTGCCTGCAGCACCAGCATCCCATATGGGCACCCGTTCAAGTCCCAGCTGCTCCACTTCCAATCCAGCTCTCTGCTATGGCCTAGGAAAGCAGTAGAAGATGGCCAAGTGCTTGAGCCCCTGTACCTGCATGGGTGACCCAGAAGAAGCTCCTGGCTCCTGGCTTCAGATCAGCCCAGTTCTAGCTGTTGCAGCCATTTGGGGAAGTGGACCAGCAGACGGAAGACCTTTCTCTCTGTCTCCCCCTCTCTCTTTGTCTGTAACTCTACCTCTCAAATAAGTAAATAAAATCTTAAATGTAGACCATTAATGGCTATGGCCTTCTTTGTCTGACAGTCCTGATCAGGTATGAATTTACAACTGCTTGTATTAGCAGTCTTACCAGTGCACCTGAATGGCACTGCGCCCTCTCCAGGCTGCATGACAAGGACCACCAGCACTGTGGCAGAACCCGCTGTCCTTCCCAAGGCCACGACTCTCAGCCTGCAGATGTCAGCCCCAGCATGTCCTTGTGCTTGTGGACTGGTGTGGGGATCCACTGGCTGTCAGGATTTCTTCAGACAGCTTTATGGAAAAGATCCATGAGGACAGCCTCCAAGAATCTGTACGTGGAATCTTCCCCGACCCAGTAAGAATTCAGGACTCTGGGAGTCCCACAGCCGTGCCCCACTCATGCTTCAGCAACAGACTGCTGGCTTTGTACAAACTTTGGCGGTTAACCCCATGAGGGTCAGGCACCCTCAGGAATTGGAAGCTTGTGGCCATCGGGCACACACGAATCCTATATAAGACATAACCTTGGCTGGCACCACAGCTCACTAGGCTAATCCTCCCCACCTGTGGCGCCAGCACCCCAGGTTCTAGTCCTGGTTGGGGCACCGGATTCTGTCCCGGTTGCTCCTCTTCCAGTCCAGCTCTCTGCTGTGGCCCGGGAAGGCAGTGGAGGACGGCCCAAGTGCTTGGGCCTTGCACCTGCATGGGAGACCAGGAGGAAGCGCCTGGCTCCTGGCTTTGGGTCGGTGCAGCACACCAGCCACAGCGGCCATTTGGGGGGTGAAACAATGGAAGGAAGACCTCCTCTCTCTCACTGTCTAATCCTGCTTGTCAAAAAAAAAAAAAAAAAAAAAGACAACCTTGCTTGACCCTTATCACAAAGCTGGCGGTACTGTCTGCAGAGGATTTCAAGAGAAAGCGTTATCACATCTGATCACTTTCCTCTCCATAGCTCCTGATGTACCTGTGTGCACCCATCCTGTCTCACCTGCAACCTTTCTAAAGCACACAGCGCTCATAGAGATGTATCGTCACTAAGTAGGATTACACATTACACAATTCTTCGATTCCAGAAATACGCAGGATCTTAGAGACTGTCAGCAGTCTTGACTTCATGGATGAGAAAATAGGACTCTGAAAGGCTAAGCACCTTCTCCAGTTATTGTAACACATTTACAATTGAAGTTGACATGAGCCCTGGATCTCTGATGAAACGTACCTTTCCTCCCGTGACCTCGAGGTCTGGCGAAAGGGTCCACGATCCCCATCCAGTTCCCATCTGCAGGCATGGACAAGGGCCGGGGCTTGCCTTGGAGGGATGAGAAGGGAGTGGCATCACTGACTAGTCTGGGGACTTTAAAGATTCTTCTCCTTAAACTTAGACCCCACAATGTCACACCCACTAAAGCGGAAGCAACTTTAAAACAAGTATTTTGAAACACTGTATTTCCACCACAAGCAGTGAAGACAGAGGCAGAGTAAACTCGAATCTGTGCGTCTACAGAGAAAAGCAACTCCAGAGCTAAGGCCCTGCAAGTTAAAACCATGCAGTGATCTCACACAGCTGGACTTGGATGCCAGGCAGATGACGACTCACCAGGCATTGCTTCAGAGAGAAGCATAAAGGTCTCATGCTTAGAATTTCATTGAGGTTTATGTTTTCCTCGGATTACCCTTAAAGTCTGCCAAATCCATCCAACAACTCCAAATAAGGAAGGGGGTAGGGAAGAGAAGCAGAAGCAAACAGCGGAACAAAACAAGCACTTGGAAACTAACCGTAAGATGGTGTTTTCTCTCTCATTTTTGTGGGCAGGAGATTGGTTTCCACAGAATACCCAGGCAACTGATCAGAGTCTGCAATGGTAAATCTTCGTCTTCGGCTCTCTTGGTCCAAGACGGAATTTGGAGACTCTGAGCCCTTGGGAGCAGGCAATGGCTGTTTACACTTACCAAATCCTCCGTAAACAAAGCTCCCGCTCTCCTCCCTGGAAGATAATGCACAATCGTTAGGATGCCGCCTCCAACATGCGCAGAAAAACTGAGCTCCTTTGCCACTGGGGGGAAATGCAATCCTAGTTGCTCCTTAAATACATAGAGATCCTTATGTTAAATAAGAGCAAATATGATGACCCTATTAAATGAGGGTAATGCAGTGTTTTTCCACTTATGTCTACATCTAGCTGGTCCCAATACAACTTTGAAAAGCTCCAGTTTTCCTGTGTTTCTGCCCTGTAGCTGAATCTCCTATTATCTACAGGACCCATGAGTTAAGGTATGAGCTACAAGCCATTTTTCACAAGCCAAGAAGTGTCTTTGCCAAAACCCAGCAAAGGAGACTCTTGGCCTGTAGAGTTGAGAATCATATCAAAAAGTAAAAAAGGACCTTTATAGTAACCAATGAAACATGACTTTTTCTGAACTAAGTATTTTTTTCTGAACTAACCCACCAAAGTAGGATCACCAATTCCATCCTAACATCATCTAAATGTTGATTTAGAATAAAATTTCAATTTTAGTTAGGTCCACGTAACTAGCTGGTTAAGTGTTTTGCATTTAGTAAATTCTGTTGGGCAACCAGTACCACAACTACCAGACGCACATAACCAGCTGAGTCCTAAAGCAATATCATGATCAACCTTGCCAGAGTATGGTGTTCCTATGGCAGCCTGCTGCCCAGGTACCCCTCCTGCTCAAGAATCTATCTCCCTCTACACCCATGAACCAACACACAACTCCCCCATCCACAAAGCTATTACTCTCCTGTAATCCATTTGCATTCTTTATTCCCCACAAAATGGCCTTCATCAGTGGCATCTGTGTGTGTAGGTCCACATGCGTCTCTCCCCCAAGTCCATACAAGTCCCAGTTTCAATTCTCCCTCACCATGGACAAACCCCTTCCTTGCCACTACTTCTGTGACCTGTCACTGAGGCCCAGCCAAGGAGGGAATCTCTGACCTTTCTGATAGAACAGGCCCCACGTTGGTAGTCAGCGAACCTTGCTCTCTGTGTGCAAATGCAATGGTGACCTGTAGCTTTAGATCCCTTAGGACCCAGTGGCCACATGACTGTGGTCTGTAAGAACAGGGACGAGGCCTGCCCACCACCCAGAAAGCCCCTGATCACTGGAGGTTAATTCTCCACGTGCTATAATTCGTAGCACCTCACTGTCATAAATTCAGCCTGAACCTCATCTTACAAAATATTACAGCTTAATGATGTGTTTTTCAATTTATTCTTGAAGAGCTGAAGGAGACCCCGGCAGGTCTCTGGAGGCCAGAACTGCATCTGTTTTGTGTCAGGTACTAAAGCAGGCCCTGTTCTCAGTTAACACAGGCTGCAGACAGGAGCCCCCTTCTCCAGTCCCAGCAGTGTCAGTAAACAGAGAAGTTGCTCTCAGCAAGCCCGGAGCACATGTAAATCCACAGACTCTATCCAGGAGGACCACATACACTACGCCACATAACATTTAAGACAGCCGGTGAGAAAGCAACTGTATGCATACTTTATTTGCATGTGTGGGGTATTTATTCAGAGGGAGGCCATATGTTTTGGGTCCCTTGTCACAATGACCCTGCTGGGGTGTGCAGTAAACAGAAGAAAACAACTATGTTTATGAATTCAGAGTGGTGGGAGCTGTGGTGTATCCTCACAGGCCTCCACCTATGATGCTGGTATCCCATATGGGCACTGGTTTGAGTCCCAGCTGCTCCACTTCTTATCAAGCTCCCTGCTAATGTGCCTGGGAAAGCAGCAGAAGATGGCCCATGTGCTTAGGCCTCTGAACCTAGAAGAAGCTCCGGGCTCCTGGCATTTAGGCCATCTGGGGAGTGAACCAGTGGATGCAGGATCTCTTTCCCTCTCTATAACTCTGCCTTTCAAATAAACAATAAACCTCAAAAAAGCAAAGAATTTATAGTACACACACACACATACACGAAAAGTCCACACCTACACTCACGTGTTTTTTTTCCTAAGTTCTATGAAGAACCCATCTCTCACCACCATCAAGCTGTAACTTTATTGTCATCCACACAAAAGATGGATTTATGATGGGGTTAATGAAACCTCAGCTACAGCGACTCCCAAACAACCTCTTCTAAGGTCCCAGCAGAAGGGTGTCCCTGTTCACAAGGGAGATTTCTTTGTATTTTTCCCCGAAGAAGCCCCTCCTCACCAAACAGCGCCCCAAGGCCGCAACACCCAGCTCCACCCCTGCACTCGCCCTGCGCTAAGACGGATCTACCTTCTCCCACCTGTTTCTGCTGCCGCGCGTCCTCTCTCAAGACCCAGGGGTCTGTGCCCCACTTCACTGGCAGTCACGCAAACAGGAGGCAAGCACACCCCGCGGGCGCAGGCGACATACCGAGGCGAGTAGGGGACGGCCGGCGGCGGGGGGATGTACAGGTCCAGGATGGCGGGCTTCTCCTTGGTCAGTGAGGTATCCATCGTGCCCTCAGGGGACTGGGTTGTCGTGGGCGGAGGCGAGGTCTGAAACAGGCACCAGGCCCAAAAGAGGAGAGGTCACCTCGGAGGCCCTGGCACACCTGTGCCTTCCCCGGAACCACCACCAGCCGTGCGCAGAGCGGGGCTGGGCCGTGCCAGTGCTTCTTGGACCAGCAGCATTTGGCTTCCTCCCTTCTGGGAGACGCTCAGCGCCTACTGGGGGCTTTGAAAGACAGGGCGGTGCAAAGCCAAGGCTCCAGAGCCAGGCGTCTGGGTTATTATGATTCCAGCTCTGAGCAAAGCACTGAAATATCCAGGCCTCAGTGGTACTGACAATGCCTCCCACAGAGTCTCAGTGAGGATTAACTCAGCGCATGAAAATCACTGGCAACACCACTGCGTTGTAGGAACAGGGCTTGGAACTCCCACGGGCTGGTATGATCCTGGCTGCACCTCTTATAATCTCTGTGTCACAGCACAAACCACTCAGCTTATTTGTGTTGCATCCGTGAAATGGGAATAAGTAGTGAGGAGGACGGAACCAACACAGGGGAGCGATGAGAATTCAGAGCGGAAACACGTGCAAAGCACTTAGGACCTTGTGTGTCACGAGGTATGAACGGACTTTAGAAAGTCCATAGAAATGCATATTATGAAAAAACTACGCACAAACTTCAAAGAGTGTTTTTGCACCAAAATAATTTACCTTTTAATTTCATTTTTCATTAACTTTGTGAAGTCCCTTCATATGCAACTTGTACTATTTTAGTTTTATATATATACATATATATACATATACTCACACAATTATAAAAATTCAAAATCCGCATTGCTTAATTTAATTATATTGTTGATTTCAAAATACCTATGCTTTAAAATCTTCCATGAGATGTTCAGTCTTATCCCTTCTACAGTCTAGAAACAAAGATGAACTTTTTCTAGCTGGTAAAGGAAAAGTAGGGAATCTTAAGGTCAAGGCATGGGAACACATGTTTAACGCCAGTGAGAAGTGCTTTGGTCCTGGGTGGGCACAAATTTCCACCTTTAAACTGACCTAGGGCTGGCTGTGAATGAAGACCACCCCAGAACAAGAAAGGCTATGAACTGGACTCCAAGATTGGAAGGACTGAGAGCCAGCATGCAGGCAGCTAGAAGTGGCCACAGGAGACGCATGGAGGGACAGCTTATTTTCAGGAGAGGCACCTAGGTCTTGGCAGTTGTCTTAATCATAGCACAATCTCCCTATCCTGGAGCTCAGTCACTGCCCCATGATCTGTCCATGTCCCTCAATACATAATTGACAATCACCTGAATGTCGATCTTTACCATGTCTGAAAACACAAGGCCAGGACCCAGACTCTCAGAAGCAAAAGTACATTAGAGGGCCAGTGCTGTGGCATAGCAGGTAAAGCCACCACCTGCAGTGCTGGCACCCCATATGGGGGCCGGTTCGAGACCAGCTGCTCTACTTCTGACCCAGCTCTCTGCTATGGCCTAGGAAAGTAGTAGAAGATGGCCCAAGTCCTTGGGCCCCTGAAACCACATGGGAAGACTGGGAGGAAGCTCCTGGTTCCTGGCTTCAGATGGGTGCAGCTCCAGCCCTTGCAGGCAACTGGGGAGTGAACCAACAGATGGAAGACCTCTCTCTCTCTCTCTCTCTCTCTCTTTCTGCCTCTCCCTCTCCCTCTCTCTGTGTGTAACTCTGACTTTCAAATAAATAAATAAATCTTAAAAAAAAAAAAAAGTAAATTAGAGCAGGTGCACAGGACAGCTACTCCCAGACAACTCCAGTGTGGATGGCTATGTTATCAGGAGCCCTCGTTTATCCTATGGCCTAAAAACATAATGAATAGCACCATTCTGGTGAAGGTACAACACTAATGATGTTGAAAACACTAAAAGCAAAGCACAGAGAAATGCCAAGGGTTGGGGGCTGAACAAGTCTACAGAGCTTTGTCTACCATGGTAGAATCTTCTGAAAATGCCTGGACACGTTGCAAGAACACCCGGAAGCCTCTGTGTCACAATGGCAGTTTATCTCCCTGAGTCAAAAGCAAAACCAGGTGTCTACGTCTCTCCGGTCACCTGCTCGCCAAACTGCAGTCACTAGAACTTGGCAGGCAAACCCAGAGAAAACCAAAGAGTGTTCCTTCTAGAATGAATCTCCAGAAGTCAGGGGGCTAACTAGCCTGTTCTTAAAAATAAGTTTCAGGCTGGCGCTGTGGCACAGTGGGTAAAGCTACTGCCTTCAGTGCCGCATCCCATATGGGCACCGGTTCTAGTCCTGGCTCCTCCACTTCTGATCCAGCTCTCTGCTATGGCCTGGGAAAGCAGTAGAGGATGACCCAAGTCCTTGGGCCCCTGCACCCATGTGGGAGACCCAAAAGAAACTAATGGTTCCTGGGTTCAAATTGGCACAGCTCCGGCCATTGTGGCCAACTGGGGAGTGAACCAGCAGATGGAAGATCTCTCTCTCTCTCTTTCTCTCTCTGCCTCTCCCTCTCTCTGCCTCTCCCTCTCTCTGCCTCTCCTCTCTATCTGTGCAACTCTGACTTCCAAATAAATAAACAAATAAATATTTTTTAAAAAATGTTTCATTTACGTTCTGAACATATCCACATGGATTCTGCTTCATAACGTGAAACTCTGTTAGGCTTACCCACTTGCCATCTCTGCCTTCCGAACGGCTTTCCTAACTTTCCAACTCCTGTCAGCACCCAGGGTTCCGGGCACACTGACACCTGTTTCTCCTTCACCTTGCTGATCTTCCTCACCTCTGACCTAAGGCCTTCTCTGAGAGTTGACTAACAAATAGGAGAATGGGGCTTAGGAAGATTACACCCCTTGACTGAAGCCCACAGCTGAAAAGTGAGAGCTGAGATTTGAACCCCAGGCGTTCAGACCCAGCGCCAGCCTCATCACCCCATGCTGTGCCACCCTGGGGCTCCTTTCATGTGGCATCAGCCCTGTCACCAGCCTTGCTCAGGACCACGCCACTCCACCTCCAGGCTTACACAACAGCCTCCCTGCGGTGGTTTCTTAGGTTTAGAATTTGCATGGGCTCAACTCCATCACCTCAAAGTCCACATGTTCCAGGCCTTAACCCTCAGACCTCAGACTATGACTATATTTAGACAGGATCTGTAAAGGGGTGGGTAAATTACAGCATGGTAGCCAGGCTGGGTTCTCATCCAGTATGACAGGTGTCCTTATAAGAGGAGGAGATCAGGACACAGACACACAGACAGAAGTCTGCAGACAAACAGGAAGAAGATGGCCATCAGCACGCTAAGCAGGAAGGCCTAAGGAGAAACCAGCACTGTTGACACCTTGATTCCTAACTTAACACTCAATCCATAGGACTTTATTATGGTAGCCCCGGATAGCATCATGAAAACACCTTTCAGCCTGTCCCCTGTGGGATGAAGTAGCCTAGAATTCCATCTGCCACGGAACCAGCTGCACCAACCAGTCCAACTTTACCTCCCCCATCCTCAGCTCCAGGGAGTCCAAGCTGCTCATTCTTTGTAGAAGGGGCTGTAGAGCCCATCCAGAGTGCCAGGACCACTCCCGTCTGCCAGCGCTGTCTCCCGGGGCAGGGACATCAGAGCCTGAGCTGTGTGGTTACACCAGGATCCTTCGTCCTGGCTAACAGGCCAAGGCTAGACTTGGAGTGAGCTGGCCTTCTTGGGGCCTCCCCTCCTCCATTCTGCTTTCCTCTCTCCCTTATAAGCTTTTCCTGAAGCACACAGCCTCCGAAACTGCCTACACAAGAATCTGCATCTCGGACTCTGCTTCTAGGAGACCTTACCTAAGACTCTCCCTCGCTGATGGCAGTGAATCCACGTGGTGTGCGTGAGCACCTCCCCCTAAAGACGCACAACCAACTGCCCAAGCAAATGCCACCTCATTGGGAAGAGAGCCTTCACCTAAAACACCCAAGCCGACCTCTCCTTCAGAACCCAACACTGACCCACCATGCACTGGGTATGCATCCCAGAGAAATGAAATCAGTACATCAGGGACTGGAGTTGTGGCACAGAGGGTTAAGCCGCCACCTCCAACGCCAGCATCTCACTGAATCCCAGTTGCTGCACTTCCAAACCAGCCACCTGCTAGCGTGCCTGGGAAAGCAGCGGATGCTGGTCCAACTACTCAACCCTTGTCATCCCTGTAGAGGACCTGTTTGGAGTTCCAGGCTCCTGGCTATGGCCTAGCTCAGCCTTAGCCATGGCAGACATTTTGGGAGTGAAACAGCAGTTAGAAGATCTCTTTCTCTCCCTCTCTCTTTGTAACTCTGCATTCAAATAAATATATCTTTAAAAAAAAATAGCATGTCAAAGAGATACCTGCACTCCCATATTCCTTGCAGCACTATTCACAATAGCCTAAAGACTCAACTGAGGTGTTCATCAGTGACTGAATTTAGAAATGTACTATGGGGCCGGCACTGCAGCTCACTTGGCTGATCCTTCGCCTGTGGCGCCGGCACCCCGGGTTCTAGTCCTGGTTGGGGCGCCAGATTCTGTTCCAGTTGCTCCTCTTCCAGTCCAGGTCTCTGCTGTGGCCCGGGAAGGCAGTGGAGGATGGCCCAAGTGCTTGGGCCCTGCACCCGCATGGGAGACCAGGAGGAAGCGCCTGGCTCCTGGCTTCAGATCGGCGCAGCGCGCTGGCCCTAGTGACCATTTGGGGGGTGAACCAACAGAAAAGGAAGACCTTCCTCTCTCTCCCTCTCTCTCACTAACTCTACCTGTCAAAAAAAAAAAGGAAAGAAATGTAATATGGAGCACTATTCAGCCTTAGGAAAGAAGGGAATCCTGTCATTTGCTACAACATGGATAAAACTGGAGGACATTATGTTAAGTGAAGTAAGCCAGGCACAGAAAGACAATACTGTGTGATCTTACTTAAATGTAGAAACTAAAAAGTTGACTTCATAGAAGTAGAATAGGGGGCAGGCGCTGTGGTGTAGCAGGTAAAGCCGCCGCCTGCAGTGCCAGCATCCTGTATGGGCACCAGTTCGAGTCCTGGCTGCTCCACTTCCAATCTAGCTCTCTGCTATGGCCTAGGAAAGCAGTAGAAGATGGCCCAAGTCCTTGGGCCTCTGCACCTGTGTGGGAAGACCTGGAGGAAGTTCCTGGCTCCTGGCTTCAGATTGGCACAGCTCCGGCCATTGCAGCCAACTGGTGAGTGAATCAGCGGATGGAAGACCCCTCTCCCCCCTCTCTCCTTCTCTCTGTGTAACTCTTAAACTCTTTCAAATAAATAAATAAATCTTTTTTTTTTTTTTTTTGACAGGTAGAGTTACAGACATAGAGAGAGAGAGACAGAGAGAAAAGTCTTCCTTCCATTGGTTCACTCCTCAAATGGCCACTATGGCCAGTGCTGCGCCAATTCGAAGCCAGGAGCCAGGTACCTCTTCCTGGTCTCCCATGTGGGTGCAGGGGCCCAAGCACTTGGGCCATCCTCCACTGCCCTCCAGGGCCACAGCAGAGAGCTGGCCTGGAAGAGGAGCAACCGGGACTAGAACCCGGCGTCCATATGCGATGCAGGCAGAGGATCAACCAAGTGAGCCGCTACAGCGCCAACCCAAATAAATAAATCTTTAAAAAAAAAAAATAAGTAGAATAGAATAGTGGTTGCCACGGGCAGGAGAGATGTTGGTCAAAGGATATAAAATATCTATCAGACAAGAAGACAGAGACTTGAATATCGCTAAAAGAGCAGAATTTAATTATTTTCACCATAAATAATAAACATGTGAGATGATGCATATATTAATAGGCTTTATTTAGACATTGCAGAATGTACGTGTATTTGAAAATATTCTATTCTATACCATAAATATATATATAATTTGTACTTAATGTTTTTAAAAAACCAAAAACTATGCTGTTATTGTTGAAAACTGATTTTTGTTCTACCTTGTACTTCATGTTAATTATTTTTAATCCCCTCATCTCCCTTAAACTACACCAACAGACGTATTTCCAGCGTCTGCATCCTGAGCAAAGTTGTGACTCCACACTATACTGTTCCCCCACGTGGAGATGGACAATAAAATCACAGGCAGTTACAAGTACACTGTAGTCTCCATCTCATTAAAGGGCATTAAAATGCCATTCCTTTGACTCTTGATCTAGGAAATAAACTCTAAGGACCAATGGCATAAAAAAGTGGTGGTCAGTGAGCAAGGTCCCCCCGAGTGTGGGCAACCAGGAGCATGTTGTTTGAAGAGAACTCACAGAGCAGCAATCACTTAACGTCAGCTCATCTTTCACCATCAAGATTGGCACTTCTAACTAAAGCCTAAACTATGTGTGATACCATTCTCCACAGGACGGAGTGCTCCATTACACCCAGCCTGCCTTGGTAACACGCTGCTAAGGACGCAACTCCATGGTCTCTCTGAGATCAGTGAGCAATGCACGCACAGTTACATGAAGACATGTTTGAAAGGAGAGAAGAGAAGGATAAACATTAACTTTTCTCCAGTGCTACAGTGATAATGCTATGGCCTGAACGCTGGTCCTGAATTCACACAGATATTTAAACCTCAGAAGTCAGTGGAACTTAAGAGGGGAGACTTATTCCAGTTACAGCATTTGGAAGCTGGCTCAGCGGGAGGTCCTGAGCTCACTGGGGATATGCCCTGGGGAGGGGGTTCCTAGAAAGAACTGGGCCAAGGCACCTGTTTACTGGCTCCCATGTCATCCATCTGCCTGCACCCCACCACTGCCACCCTCACCAATGGCCTCCAAAACCATGGGCTGAATAAACTCTCTTTATGAAGTTAACTTTCTCAGGGATTTCATGGTAGCGACAACCAGCTGACTGACACACCTGGAAACATCTGTACCGCAGAGCCAATATGGCAACACAGGCCAGATGTGAATATTCAGACCAGGAAGGTGACTGGTGAGACTGGAGAACTTCTCATTCCATTTACTGTCGTACATGGCTAGAAGCTACCACACTGTCACTACAGATCTACAATGTGTAGTCTCATAACATAAGAAAACTAAAGCATCAACTCTTTTAGGATGATCAGGTCATCACACACCAACTCCTGAAACCCACCACCTGCAACTTTTCATCGTGACAAACCCACCCAGAGATGCTGGTCACTGCTGAAGCGAGACAAAGGCCCGCAGGGACCAGCGGTACCTGCACGAGAGGCGGCTTCCACCGCAGGTTCTTCAGGGGAGCCGGCGTGAAGTTGAAGAAAGGACCGGAGGGCCGCCTCTTGAGCAGTAACACGACTCCAGTGGGATTCTCCCTCAGCTTCCTGACCAGGTTTTTCAGTTGCCAACCCACCTTCAGAGCAAGCAAATGAGGAAGGAAGACTTAGCTCATGAGACTGAGATGATCAAACCTAGGACATCGCAATTAGTAAAGAGGGAGATACAAATATGCAGATGCAAACGTGTTCCTCTTAGCACTACTTACTCTAGTGGCAAAACTGGATATGAATTTCAAATTAAAAAAAAAAACAATATGGCTTTAGATTTCACTGAAAGTTGTAAAGGAGAAACTTAAGTCTCAATACACATAGGCAGGTGTTTGGCAGAGTAATGATTAAAATCGCCACTTGAGATGCCAGCATCCTGCATCGGAGTGTCTGGTCTGTATCCCAGCTCCTCTGCTTCCAATCCAGTTTTCTGTTAATGTGCAACCCAGATGCACAGATGGCAGCTCAGGTACTTGGGTCCCTGGAACCTATGTGGGGGACTCAGGCTGAGATCCAGGCTCCTGGCTTCACCTTGGTCCAGCCTGGCTAACACAGGCACTTGGGGAGTGAACCCGCAGGTGAAAGGTCTTACTGTGTATCTCTTTCTTCCTGTTCCTCTGCATTTAAAAAAAAAAAAAATGAAAACCAATACACAGACATTTAGGTAATCAATAAACTCAACTCACCACGGTTTGTCGATTAACTTGAATGACTTCGTCACCAGCATGAATCTTCTGAGACCTGTCTGCAGGAGACTATGGAAACAAAGAAACCGTCTTAATTTCCTACACCTTCTATTGCTTCTTTCACTCTTCTGTAGGCAACTAGCAACAGAAATAAAGTCTTCTCTGTAAAAATAAAACGATGCATTTTGGTCCCCTGGGACTACACAGTCTACGGATCCTGACATAGAGATGCTGTTATCTAATTAGTTTCTGTTATAATCCCCAATCTGTCAGCCACAATAGTCAGCTTCATCGAATCCGTCAAGGAGGGTCAACAGAAATTCTATGTCTTTGAAGAATTTAATTTTTTTCACACTCAAAATGAAGGATCTTTCAGTATCAAAACAAAGTCCAGACTTTATTCCCCCCTACAAATAATACCTTGCTAATAACAAAAACATAACAAAAATAACAAAAGCATAAATGGATATCATCTGTTTGTCAAATATTTTGTTCATAGTATTCCTGTTCATATAAGCAACTCAGAATTCCCTATGCTTTAATCTCATATTGGCTTGGGCGTTTGGCCTAGCAGTTAAGATGCCAGTTCAGACACAAGCATCCGGCATCAACCCAAGGGCAGAGAACCTGGGTTCAGCACTCACTCTTTCTCCTGACTCCAGCTCTCTGCTAATGCAGACCTGGGAGGCACCAGTGATGGCTCCAGCAGCTAGTTTTCTGCCACTCATGTGGAAATCCTGGATTGAATTCCAGCTCCAAGTTTTGACCCCAGCCAGGGGCTTTTATAGGCATTTGGGGAGTGAAACAGAGGATGAGCACTCACTCACTCTGTGTGTGTGTGTGTGTCTCGTATATTAATGAATTAAAAAATCTTTGTTTAAATATCTCATATGACCAAGAAAAGAAGATAGGATAAACCTTTTGTTTCAAATTCTAACCAAATATTACCTAGGCCGGAGTATTTAATTTTGTAACTTAAGTAATCGGTTGAATTTTCAAATAATTTACCACTGCACTTTAAGAAACTGCACCTTTGAACATGGGGAGGAGGGGTAACACTTAAGACATGCTTACTGACTTTTCTCACTCCGTTGTTGTAGCAGGCTCAACAAGGAACTGGGCAGCAGCTCTAAGCTGTAGCAACAGGCTTTGTGCGTAAGGCACAGGTGACTGTGAGGGTTAATTTTAAGAGCATTTCACCTGCTGCCACAACCGGCATGCCTCACCTGAGACACCAGCAAGCTGAGCACCACAGGGAGATAACGCTCTCTTAACTCTCTCTCTCAAGTCACTGCAAAAGAGTACGTTTACTGATGCTCCTTTCTGTCCCTGTATATTAGATGCTTAACTCATAGTCAGAGACCTACTGGGCTAAGTATGCGCCTATTAGTAAAGTCTGGTCAATCTTCCCTGGTAAAGGATTCATTTCGGGTACGCTTCACTTTGTAAGCGATGGCCCAGAGTCTTGGAAGGTCCTCTTTATAGACTTGCAGTCCTAATAAATAAGCACCCATGTCCTGAATTGACTTCCCTTCCCAAGGATCCTGATGCAGTGACTTCTCAAATGTCCTACCCAGTGACTAAGAGTTGTGCCTGGCAGAACCCTGGTAAAAAGAGAGCTTGATACCAAAATTCTCCATCGGGCAGTAGCTCTCGCCTAGCTTCATCCTGAGTTGGACTACTGACAAAATGGTGCTTGTCTGGTTTGCTGCAGAAGGGTGATGACCTGGAGAATAATGTGCTCATTCTTCAGAGGCTAATCTAATACCCACCTCATCTTCGGGGTGGAGGATACAAGTACCAAGGGGCCTGTGTCAAGACTCCTGTCCAGATCAAGGAAATCAGATAGAGAATCAGCAGACACAGACAGCATGACCTGGGAATGAGCCTGACCTCTCAGGTGCATTCAAAGAAATGGGCTGGAGGTCTGAGAATGCCCTCCTGCCATTCTGACTCCAAGACACAGGAATATGGAGACAATTCACTTGGGAACGCAGTAGGCAGCTTCCACCCACCCGCTCCCACTCACCATCCTGGGCTTCCATGAGAACATTCTGACTCTGAAGTCACAGCCTCTTTAAGTGACAGCCAGAAAGCTGACCCAGAGCTGGCAACTTCTCCTCCCATTCAAGTATAAAATGTCCAACATGAAGTGCAAAACATCAAGATCAGGCTCTTGGGAAGTGGGCTCTACCTACTTCCTAGTCTCGTCTACAAGGCGCCCAGTGTCCCAGTGTCCCACACATGGCAGGGACTCAACAAATGTCAGGTAATGACTGAAGCAATGAGTGACATTCTACACTAGATTTTCAGATGGCATAGGACAGGTTTTCTTTTTTATCTGTAGAATATTTCTTTAAATTTTATTTATTTGTTTATCTGAGAGTAGAGAGAGAATAGGCAGACAGAGTTCCCGTCTGATGGTTTACTTCCCAAAGTGCCCAGGGGCCCCTCGTTGGGACAAGGCCAAAACTGAGAACAGAGCACTCTGGCCAGATCTCCTGTGTCAGGGACAGGAACACAATTATCTGAGCCACCGTCTGCTGCCTCCCAGGCTCTGCGTGAGCAAGAAGCTAGAGTGAAGATAGAACCAGGTATCCAACCTAGGCACTCCCATGTGAGACGCAGGCTTCTTAAACAACATCTTCTCCTTTACGCTAAAGAGTTACCCTTTCAAATTCATCTTTAACAAACGGTAACCACCTCTCTTTTGAGACCCTCCATACAGTGCTCTGTGGGTGCATTAGGATAGAATATATCCAAGCAAACCCTGAGTCCGTCACCCAATGTCATGATTCTAGCAGGAATCGAAAAGATACAGAGGATGTATCATTAACGACATCTGACATTCCATTCGATTCATAGTACATTTGTTCAGTTTCTCATTTCAACTCCTTAAAAACGGAAATGACATCCACCATCCTTCTGAACAACCCATCCAACTCCAGAACAACACACTGACTGGTGGTATGAGAGCATGTTTTTGCGATGGTTGAGCAGGATCTTACCAGGTCTCCGACAAGGACCAATGGCAAATCATACAATGCATCATGTAGCTTTTCTTCCTTTAGCCCCCATCCCCAACATCAAAGCACCACTTCCTGTGCTGTTGCTACTGCCCACCAGGTGACACAATATAAAATTCCTAGTTATTCTCACTGTAGCTCACCAGGGCATGCTTAGACACTACCATCTTCTACTCATTCATCTGCCAGAACCACACAATTGATTTATAATTCACTGACTGCCTTAAGCAATGTCATTTTCTTACTGCAGAAACTCTGCTTATCACACTCATCAAAGCCCATGCCATTTTCTTTTATCCAAGCAGCTCAAGTTCAAATTTAGACAAGTGTTCCCAACAAACAAATTAGCAAAGTAGCTACCCAAATATCCCTGCTCATCCCTAGCTGACTCTGGGTTGATTAAATAGATTAATTAATACGCAGACACAGAGAAACCGTTCAAATGTTTGTAGCTTCATATCAATGTCATTGAAACGTAGGCTACAAGAAGAAAGCATTCAATCAGCTGTACTTTTTAACAAATTCTACAAATTTGTCTAGCTTAATTTTTATCAAAATGTTTGAGGGGCAAAAGAACACTGCATGTAGCAGAATTCCCAAAAGGAAGTAAGCAGTACATAAAAGTTTCACATAATAGAAACAGACCTGTTTTTCTATTCAAAGGATTGGGAGGAAGGAGGGAACAAAATTTTAAATCATGCCAAATATCATGAAATACAACTCTAAAAGAATCTGTCATCCAAACATCCTAAAATAGTTGCTTTGGAGACACATAAAAATCCCATTAAACAAGCCAAAAAAATTACATTTTACACATATGGACACCAACCCCAGTTCTTTGTAAGAGTGAGTCTAACAGCAAAGAGATCTTGGTTTTTCTATTTATGTCTTAACCCTTCTAGGGTAAAAAGGAATAGTTAACTGTATGGTGGGAGGTAAAAGTGGGCAAGATGTGTGAACAATAAAGAGTAAGAAAGAACAATTTAAATAGTAAACTGACAATAGCTGGTAACAAGCAGTACTTTATCCACAGAAGTAAACAAAACAGGCCCCGGTGCTCTGACTGCAGATAACAAAACAGTATGCACACACTGAAATGAAAACACACAGCAATTCTGTTCACACATGTAACAGCTTTTACATTTAACGGACATACACTTACATTTTCTGTGGTTCCAGTAATCACATGCAGCCCATCATAGGTCGACTTTATGTACATGCCCTAGAGTGAGTGAGACACAAATATATTAAGTCATTTCAACTTTGAGAGGGGGAACTGTCACTGGGACTTGAACTGTAAAACATTACAGTCCCTGCAAATCAACACTCACCAAGAGGCTCCTGAGACACTGTGAAACAAGATCCAAAGGGCAGTGAAGGGGAGCTAAACAAACTGAAATACTAGTGAATGGATCCCACATGAGATCTCTTTGATATTCTAATTTGTGTACCAGGCGTGTAGAATTTTGCCACAATTCTGGGGATGAGGGAGTTTTCTCAAACCTGCTACATGAGTGAAGAATTTCAGACAAAGGCCGCTCTTTCCTGCTCTTTCGTTCAGTTAAATTTAGTGTTCATAGCAACTGTAGGATGATTTATTCAAGACATCAATAAGCCAGACCAGGATGCACCAACCCAGATTGTTACATGACTTAACCTAAGGAGCTGATGACTAACAGACACCCACCCATTTAAGGAAAGCAGAGAGGTGAACAGGCTCCCTCCCAGCAGGCCCAGTGGGCAAGCTCAGAGGAGAATGCTGTCTTGTTGAGGAAGTATTTCTGCAGGGAGACAGATCATATACAAAATCTGTGTGTTAAACTGTTATAACGGGCAGAGAGTGCAACCTAACAGAGCAGAAAGCAGGTGCTCATGCTGTTATGTAGTTATTAATGAGGAGCCTCCTCAGGAATCATTTTGACCCTGAACTTGGCCGGGCTCAGCCACCTAACACCACTCCATACTGACCATCTCAACTACTAAGGCCCCCAAGGTTCTCCACAGCCCCTCAGGGCTGTGACTTTCATTCACTGAGTCTATCAGCTTCTCTAGTACACATAGCCCTCCCCTCCCAGGACTCTACCTGTCTAACTCTACCATCTGAAACGGCAACTCCATTGCTGCCCACTCAGAGCCTACACCTGCTCCCACACTGGACTACAGACTCCAGGAAGTCCTCTCTGTTTAAACTGTTACAACGTATCATTTACTTTGGAGGCAAGCAGTATCAGTAGGCACATTTCTACTAAGAATGAAGGTTTGTGGACATTCACTTGATTTTTGTTTGCCCATCTAAGAGCAGAGGCTGCCTTAATCCTCCCCACAGCTACCCACACTCTACACCCCTGTCCTCCTCCTCCTCCTCCTCTCCTCTCATCCCTCCCCCACCCACCAATACCAGCAACAGCAGCTCCAGCCACCAATCAATGCCCACATCTGGTACGCTCCACATAGGGCACTGGGCATCCACCAAGCAACTGAACACTTCCCACAGCCCTAGCAGGAAACTGACTCAAAGCCCCTGGGCTCATCAATGGGCCTCACAGCTTCTTCACGCAAATTTTAGTCAATTAATGCTATAAGGACATGTGCTGGGAACTGGGAGGTCCCCCTGTATGTAGTCTCTGGGTCTATTATTATAAATATACATGATTTATAAAACACTTTCCAAATTTAAAGAAGTTCTCACACACATCCTTAACACCAATAGACTTTCAGAGTAGATGTGAACCCAGATTTCATCTCTGCTTTGTGTAAATGTTCTTTCTTTTCTTGCATCACTAAGTCTTAAATAAAGCTGTTAAATCATTGTCTTTGGAATATAAGTACAATGTATTTATTTTTATACTTTGAAGATAAAAAAATATATACCAACAGAGTTCAAGGTAGCAAATTCTTAAGTACATAACAGAAGGCAGTTTACCTTTAATTCTACCTTTTCAGAATCACATAAGAAGGAATTCTTTAAAAACTTTAGTAAATGACAGTGTGTGGTGTTTGAAAATAAAATGAGCATCATTAGAATTCTTACCAGGCCTTCCCCAGGCTTAATGTTTGGTAAGTGAACTTCCTCCAGGCACGCACACTGGCTCATAACAGGATCCCTTGTAGAGCGGATTGTTTTGTCACAGATGCCGTTTAAAACCTTGACCTAGAATTGGACGGGCAAATAGGGAGGGAAGTTCAATCATTAACAGGTTTTACCTCAAGCTGATTTTTAAAGAAATGCCCTTCACCTGTAAGCTTTTGCTCTGGCTGGCAATCGTTCTGATAATTCTGCTCAATGAACGCATGGCATCTGGACTCAGTGTTTGCAGTCGTGGGAATGCACTACTATTCCAGCTTTGTTTAAAAAGTGCAGCTTTAACATTAACTCCTCAATGACCATGGAAGGGACCAGGCTGGAAAGAAATCCCCTTCCCCCCCATTAGGGAGACTCACCCACTGCCAACCCCTGGTGTGGCTTTTTGGGGAGGGCACACGTTGTCTGAATACCAAATACCAACAAGACAAAAAAAAATATCTTTTGGCCTATATCAGTTTTTTTTTTTAATAGATTTTGCTTTATGGAGAAGTTTTTAGGTTTAAAGAAAAAAAAAGGAGCAAAAAGTTCATTGAATAGCCATTTCCCCTAGAATTAACATCTTGCATTGGCAGGGTACATTTGTTACAACACATGAGCCACCACTGAGAATTATTATTAACTGTAGTCTACGATTTAAGCACCCTTAGTGGTGAACACCACAGGTTTTGCCATATGCCCAATGTCAGGCACCCATCATTACAGTGTCATACAGAATAGTTTCACTGCCCTGCATATGCCCTGCACTTGACCTCATTATCATCTCCCCTACCCCACCATGAACCCTCAGCAGCCACTGGTATTTTCAGTCTGCATGGTTTAGTTTTTTCCACAATGTCAAACACTTGGAATGATACAGCATATCACCTTTCCAGTCTGGATTAAGTTTTTTCCACATTTTTTCACAACTTGATAACTCATTTATCTGTACTGCAGAATAATAATCTATTCTATGAATGTGATAACTTATTTATCTGCATTGCTACTCTGTTCTATGAACGTCCCAGTTTGTTTATCCATTCACCTATCCAGAGACAATTGGTTGCTTCCAATTTGGGGCAATTATAAACAAAGCCGCTATAAAATTCTATGCAGATTTGCGTGGACATAATTTTTCAGCTCTTTTGGGTAAATGCCTCAGAGTGCAACTATGGGGTGGAATAGTAAGAATGCATTTAGTGTTGTAAGGACCTGCCAAAGTGTCCTGGAAGCTGCAAGCACTATCTTGCATTCCCTCTAGGGAGATATAAAAGTTCCCTTTGCTCCAAGCCTCTGGCGGCACTTAGTGCTACCAGTATTCTGGATTCCAGCCACTCTATTAAGTGATATCTCCTTTGTTGTTTTCTTTTGCAACTCCCTAATTACAAATGCTGTAGAACATCTTTTCATATGCTTATTTGGCATCTGTATACCTTCTTAGGTGTAGGGCAGTTCAGATCTTTTGTCTACATTTAATTGGGTTGTTTGCTTTCTTACTACTGAGTTTTAAGAGTTCTTTGTGTATTTTGAATACAAAGCCTTCATCTCAGATGTGTTTTGAAAATATTTTCTCCAACCCTGCGGCTGGCTTACCTTTTCATTCTCTTGGCAGTGCATTTCACAGAGCAGAGGTTTTAATTGTAATGAAGCTACATTATCAGTTTTTCCATCATGGATCATGCTTTGGGTGTGCTATCTAAACACTCATCACCAAACCCAAAGGCACCTGGATTCTTTTCCCATGTTATCTTCCATGAGCTTGAGAGTTTTGCATTGTACATTTAGGTTTATGAATGTCCTGGTGATGACTCACCTTCTCCAACTGACAGAGCAAAACTCTAAGGAGCCACTGTGAGGAGCCCCGAGCGGTCTCCATACAGAAGTCACAGGTGGGGTTGCTGTGTGCAGAATTTCCCCAGTCAGGTACATCTAAACTTTCCAAATTAAACAACCAAAGGAATCAGGAAATTCCAAAGAGCGCTTTTTCATTCCAAGGGGGAGAATCTTAGAAGTGACACTTTCTACACTCCTCAAATTTGTTTAGCCTTCCTATTTATGGAAAATATATTTATAGCAGTTTCATTGCTAAATTCCTCAACATTAGGAGGAGGAAGGCCTTATCAAAAGAGCACAGACTGGCTTGTGTCAAAAGCAGGAAGTGATGATGAATAGCAGCAAACTGCCCTTTCAACAGTCATGGGACATCCCCCTCTATCTAATGGCTTCTGCCAAGATTTTTTTTTTTTTTAGCCAGTTGGGCGGAACATGAAATGTCCACATCAATTGTATCCAAATTTTATCTGGCTGGGCAGCAACTAATGTAGAAGGGTATACTGACTAAATGTTCAGAAGGAAAAAGAAAGCAAAACAGAGACCCCAATATAGCAAATTTAAGCAAAGGAATTCTCACGTTGGCTGATCTTATTAAATAACTCTTCCTCCTCTCCTTCTCCCTGAATTAAAAAGACCAAGATCCCAAAAGCCAGTCTTTCAAGGTCTATCCCAAAGGAATTAGTCTGCATTTACTTCAATTAATGTGATTCTTTCTCATTACCTTCCAAAAAAGGGATTTTATAGTAACTTCTAGAACAAATCCTTACCACAGTTAAAACTTTGTCCTCCATTTCAGCTACAAGGCAATCCTAAAGAAGGGGAAGAAGAAAAAGACAACTAAGTAGAAAGAATTAAAAAACTATGACAACCCGTTGGCTTGTCTTCTGGGTATCTCCTGGAGCCCACAAGGCCTCTGACTCCCATCTCCTCAGCCTGGGCAGCAGAGAGAGGATGGGCTGACATTTATCTTGTCCTAAGGCCCCGCTCTCTGCTGACCCAAGAAGCTTATCATCCAAGGAATCCATAAATTTGACCAATTATTTAATTTGAAAGCCTGTAAAGTTCAAGAATTGAAGTCCACCCACTGTCCACAAGGTCCAGAGATCAGTAAATCAGAAGGCCAAGTCCAAGAAACCTGACAATGGCTCCCAATGTGACCCTAGGCTCAGCCAGCAGTGAGCCAACCAGCAAAGCGCTAGCTCTGGGCCTGCCCATGAGAACAGCTTTCAAATAAGGGCCTGAGTAAACTCAGCCACAAAAGTTTATTTTAAGCACCACTGAGATTAAATCAGATATTTTAGTCCTTGATAGATGAAAAAAGCTTAACAAAACATTCATTAACACACTGCCAAAAAGTGGTCCTGAGGTATGCTATTGATGACATTAAAAAAAAAACTGGAATGCAAAGCATTATTTACTCAGCTTAAGAACAAAAGACTTGGAACACTGTACGAACAGGGTTAGCTGATTACAGGACTCACCATTGTCCCATGGAAAAGCCACCACTGTGAAATGTTCACAGTTAACCTAGAACTGTCTACAGCAGAGAACTCCCACATACACAGCAGGGTACATGCTGAAGAAAAGTGAGAGGGACTGGGTTCTTTACTGTTTATCCAGCACCGTTCAGTGTAACCCCTAACTGGGACGACCTTAAAGAAAACGCTCATTACTCTATGCACGTGGAAAACATTCATCAACTCAGTTGGAAGTACCAAGCAAAGATGTTCTTTTAAACCAAACCATCCCTTTACAACTCTCATTGGCACAGGCATGGCTGCTAATTTCTACCATATGTGATTTAATAATCACACTTTGTCTTCTTTAAAATATTTTTTATTTTCTCTACTAGATTAAAATGTGGGAAACAATAATTGTTACTCTACTGTCCCCAAAAATATACTGACTCACTGGAAAATAACAGCACAGGAGGAAAACACTTAAAAAAAAATTCAGAAATGTATTTTCACATGGGTGAATGTTATGGAAATTCAAATTATAGGAGCAACTTCTCCAAACTACAAAGAATTACAACTCAGAGATGTGCTTTTCTGCCTTTATCTCGTGCATGAAACTTAACTACCAACTACTATTATGGCTCTTCCCTTACTAGTACTGTCCAGTAGTACCAAATGGAGAATTTAGAAAAACAGATTTATGCAGCCTTGTGCTAGAAACATAACTGATGATTTCTGCCTGTGATCTTTCATCACAAATCTCAGAACGATATCAGTGCTGTCTTCCTGAGGTCACCGTCACTCAGAGACAGAGGCACCTCAGTGCACCAGGGTCCAAGAGAGAGCCAAGGTCAAGGTGTGGCCGCATGGTCCCCTAGCAAACAGGTTTCCTGCCTTGTGACAGAGCTCTCCTGCCTCCCACGCTATTCAAGTCCAAGTCCACATGTGAAAAGGCCCGTGTCTTACCTTCCCCACCACAGTGACCGTGGGGAAAGTTCCCACACCCATTCCCACTCAGAGGAAGCAGCTGCGGGCGTGACTTCACATTGTTTGGCACAAACGGAAAAAGAGGTATTGGGACCATGTGACCCCTGGTGAGTCAGACAGGGAGGCTGCTCTTCGTTGGTCCTCAGTCACCTGGACCAGCAGGAACTGCGCAGCCTAACTGGCAGACGCCCAGCCTGGGACGTCAACCCTGCCTGCATCTCCTGCTCCCTCTTCTTACTGCACAGTCTGGGAAATGCGGTGAACTCCTCCATAGAATGGGGTCGGTCACCAAGCCTGTCTTCGATAGCTCACCCCCATGACACACGCCAAGCACGCAGTCACATCTGGGACACAATCCACACTCAGGATCGGTCTTTTCCACTTCTGCTTCCCTGGGCATCGCTCCACTCGGTCGTCTGGGGCTCACACATGGCTCATTCCCCTATTTCTTCCCAGGCTGCAACTCGGTGCCTGCCACTGCCACTTCCTTATGGCTACTTTGGTTTCCACGTCACCACAACAGGAAAACAGATTGGAAATATACTTCGCGATCCCTCCCTACCTTGATTTCCTTCATCTGAAATTATAGTCCAAGCCAGGCAGGAGGGGCCAGCGCCATGGCTCACTTGGTTGATCCTCCGCCTGCGGCGTTGGCATCCCCTATGGGCACTGGGTTCTAGTCCCGGCTGCTCCTCTTCCAGTCCAGCTCTCTGCTGTGGCCTGGGAAGGCAGTGGAGGATGGCCCAGGTGATTGGGCGCCTGCACTCGCGTGGGAGACCAGGAAGAAGCACCTGGCTCCTGGCTTCGGATGGGTACGATGCCGGCCGTAGCAGCCATTTGAGGGGTGAACCAATGGAAGGAAGACCTTTCTCTCTGTCTCTACCTCTCACTGTCTAATTCTACCTGTCAAATAACTTAAAAAAAAAAAAAAGCCAGGCAGGAGGATCAATTGCTGTACTTGGAATGCAGCTCTTGCATTCTTAAAAGTATGCAGATCCCAAGTGTGTGTGTTGGGGGGTGGTGAAGTGGTGATAGTTCTCCTTCTGATTTATAAATTACAGTTGAAAGGAGGGATGCAGAGAATTTGGCAAGAAAGGAGGAAATGTGGCAATAAGTAGGAGAGACAGGAGAAGAGGAAATGAGCAAATCCTTTCTTCATAGACAGCGACACAAAGAATGAAGGCTCAGGAGAACTCGTCCTTCCGCACTGGGCGGAAACAGATAGCTTTTACTCCTTCAGCTCCCAGGTAAAAGGAATAAATGAACAGAAGAGAGTCCTCTTCCCCAAAACACAACAGATCTTCCCAAGAGGCAGGAAGCCAGCATGAAGAGGCCTGGCACCCTGAACCCCACGTTCACCCGCCTGACATCTCCGACAGGTGCCTCCGTGTGTGCTCTCGTGCACAAACACTGGGATGAAGCACCGTGTTCTTCCATCGCCACAGAAAACAAATGCTCACCAACATCTAAACACCTTTCTTGGCCTTAGTCCAGGAAATGACATCCCCATGTACATTCACATATTGTCAACTTTAATCCTTAAAACCATTAACTTTGGGGCCAGCATTGTGGTTCACTGAGCTAAGCTGTTGCTGCAACTCCCATCCCTTATTAGCTCTGGTTCAAGACTGGGTTACTGCACTTCTGACCCAGCTCCCTGCTAATGCACCTGGGAAGGCAGTGCATGATGGCCCAACTGCTTGAGTCCCAGACATTAACGTAGGAGACCCAGATGGAGTTCAAGACTCCTGGCTTCAGCCTAGCTCAGCCCTGGCTGTTGTAGCCATTTGAGGATTTAACCAGCAGATTGAAGATTATCTATCTATCTATCTATCTATCTATCTATCTATCTTTCTCTCTGCCTTTAAATAAAGCTTTTAAAAAAAACATTAACTTTAAAATAAAAAAAAAACACCAGAAAGTAAGAGCAACATATTTGTTTAATTCCTCTCCTCAATCTATCAACTTTGGTTCCAGAAAACTGGTACAAAGCAAGATTTTTATATTTTCTACTACAGTCTACTCTTTTAATACATTATATCTTACCTCCCACCCAAGCACGAATCAGGCCCAACTCTGCTTAACTTCATAGCAATCTTTTGAAGTAGGAATTACGCCATTGCCTGTGACAACTGCAACCCATACGGGCACCAGTCTGAATCCTAATTGCTCTATTTCTAACCCAGCTCCCTGCCAATGTGCCTGGAAAAGCAGTGGAAGATGGCCCAAATACTTAGGTCCCTACTACCACGTGCAAGACTCAGATGCAGTTCAGCTCAGCCTAGCCCCAGAGACTAAACCAGCAGGTGAAGATCTTTCTCTCCCTTACTCTCTGTATCTCTATCTTTCAAATAAATAAATCTTAAAAAAAAAAAAAAAAAACCTCTCCTATTTGCAACTTACAATGTTTAACTCATACATTCATTGAACTGAGACAAGTAATCTTGGTTAGAAATTAAAATAGGACATTATGGAAAGAAGAAAGCAGGGAAGATAACAAATACCCATAGCAGGTTTTAGGGCAGCGCCTCCCACCACAAATTCCAGGCCTCCTCTACAGAATGACACACCACAATGGGTATCAAGCTATTTTTGTCAATGTTACCTTACACATCACTAAAAGGAGCTAAAACACTGGGCGGCTGTAGTTGCTATGAGCACCTTCCTAAGGTCATGACCTTGAACATGCATGCCCCTTAAGTTCAATGGCCACAGGATCTGGCTCTCAAACATGGGCGCTGCACTTGCAAGCCCAACTGCACAGTCCACAGTCCAGAGACAAACAGGAAGCACAGAGCTTTTCACAACTGCATCTCTGTTACTGTATAGTCAGGTTGGAGGGAAAGACATTCTGTATTTTTGGTCAAATCAGCAGTGGAAGCAAACATGGAATCATTGAATCTTAGACCCAAGTGAGGAACCAAAAAAAAAAAAAAAATTAGTAGCAGATATAGGAAAGTACTCAAAAAAAAAAGTAGATTACTCTAGAATTTCTATTTTAAAAAATTGAGTGCTCAAACATTTTAGAGGAAGTGTAAGACCAGTAGCTCAAGTATTTTAAAACAAAAGGCAGCAACCTTTGGTTCAAAGGTCACAGGTCATTTTTCACTGAATTCAGCTCTGCAAGATATCTCATTTAAAGCCTTTTACTTCTCCCCAGGTCTGATGGACACAAAAAAAGGCTGGGGATGGGGAATGGCGCATCAGACCTGCATGGAAACCCTTTGAAGAAGACACAGGAAACGGGAAGAAAAAAAGGCAGAACGCCGTACCAGCGGCACTGACCTTCTGGACTGTGGTGGTCAGGTCCAGGCAAAGCTGGATGATCTTGTTCTTCGTAACTGAGAAATCAGTGATGCCTGTAAACGGAGCCCTAAAAAGGAATAAAAATTCTCTTTACAGAAAACCAGGATGGCAGAAATCTCCCAGAATCCTCTTCTGTGGCTGACAAGCCTCCACGCCAACCAAATAATCATTCATATTTAATCTCAGCAAAACACAACCTGGAGCAGAGCTCTACTCTTGAAGCTGAGGATAATTTGTTCCTGCTATCAACCTTTTAAGTCACTTCCTAAGGAATTCTAAAATCTACCATGGACTCCAGGTAGGTTCCAGTGCGTGACAGGGACAACGATTGGCTTTCCTAAGAACAGAACAGACTTCCCTGCATCCCAGTGCCTCCTGCTGCAGGACAGGAAGAGGTGCCCCTGCCACTCACCGGTCCAGCCAAGCCAGCAGGGCCTTCGCAGCCCCGATGAGCTCCACCACTGAGGTCAGGAACTCATTGGGGGGCTTGCGCGATGTGTTCCCATCGTACACAGAGCTTTTCCGCCGGCTACTTATGTAGTTCTGTAAGTTGTGGGACGACGCTCGCAGCTTCAAAACCAGGTTCTTCATATTATCAGTTTCAAGGCCATAATTCTGCAGAAAATAGAAGCAAGAGGGAAAATTAAGAATAATCAACAATGGCCAAAGTCACAGTAACGCAAAAGCCCACTGAGTAACATAAATGACTCCTACAACCTGTGCAAAACCTGGTGGACGCCACCATGTACCCTGGCCCACCTCTGCCACCGCCCTCTCCCTCCTCGCTCAGGGCTCCTGCCACGGGCTCTGTTCCCGCTGCAGCCTCTTCCTGAAATACTCTCCCCCCAGATCCCAGCAAGGACAGCTCCTTCTCATCACTGGGGTCCTGGCCTGATGCCGCCTTCAAGGACTGCTTATATCTGGACCAGGGTTTCTCGACCACACCCCTACTGACACAGGAGGCTGACTCTTTTATTCTGAGGTGGGATTCCTGTAGGATGTGAGAGCACCCCTGGTCTCTTGGCTGTCGGTGGCTCCCCCTCCCCAGTTGTGACAACCAAAAATGTCTCCCACCATTGCCACAGGCCCCTGGGGGCAGAACTGCACCCTCAAGGCACCAAAGCACAGCACTCACTGCTGCCCCCGTGTGGAGCCCATGTTTATTGCTGCCTTCCTCCTGGACAGGCAAAGTCTGTGGAACAAGGCTCTGCTCCATTTGCAACACAACAGGCAAATATCAAAGTCACTTCCAACAAGGTGAGACAAACAAGAAACAGCAGTCCTGACTTAACGCCAGCTCACCAGCAATGCAATTTCCCTCTCTTGAACTTCTAGCCTGTGTGTGTCGGGATGACTTTCCACTTATTTGGATGCTTCGAGGGAACGGATGTCATGTGACAGCAGTGCCCTGGGCTGCCTTTCAGATGAACAACCAACCCCGGAGTAGGTGTGTGTGATACCCACAATCCGTATCAGAGTGCCTGGGATGGAGTCCCACCTCCACTTCCCATCCACCTTCCTGCTCACGCGCACCTTGGGAGGCAGCAGACAATAGCTGAAGTACTTGGGTTCCTGCCACCCACTTGGGAAAACTGAATGGAGTTCCTGACTCCTGGCTTTGGCCTAGCCTAGCCCTAGCTTTTGCAGGTATCTGGGGAATGAACTAACAGATGGAAAAAAACCTGTCTCTCCCTCTCTGTCACTGTGTCCTATACATACATACATACATAAATACCCCAGAAAATAACACTTAGCTCTGAGATGACTTTGGAGGTGAGGTATGAATGCTTATACTCAATTGAACACATCCTAACTTGATGTTTTATCATTTTAACAAAAAATAAAGCTACTTCTAGGGGTATATTATACTGTTTCAATGGCATCCAAAAGGAAGAACCTGGTACCATTTAAAAACTGGGAATATAATGACTAAGACTATTGGATACTTACTCTATGCCAGGAAATAGGCTAAATAATTGACAAGTATTATCTCAGGCCATCCTTTAAAGACGGAAAGGTTAGTATCTCCCTGTTGCAGACGAAGAAACTGAGGCACAGAAACAGTGAATAAATTCTCAAAAGTTACACAGCTAAGCAGTGGTAGGGCTGGGACTTCAATCAAGGCTTCTCACCAAGGGCTCAAGCTTCTGCTCCAGTCGCTGTACACCCGCCTCAAACAGACCTTGCCCAGGAAAAGGTCGTATGTTAAGGCAGAAAACAGAGAGGCCAGTGCCGAGGCACAACAGGTTAAGCTGCTGTCTGCAGTGCCAGCATCCCATGCGGGCACCAGTTTGAGTCCTGGCTGCTCCACTTCCAATCCAGCTCCCTGCTAATGCACCTGGGAAAGCAGCAGAGAGTGGCCCAAGTCTTTGGGCCCCTGCAACCATGTGGGAGACCTAGAAGAGGCTCCTGGCTCCTCTCTTCCGGCTCCTCACTCCTGATTTTGGCCTGGCTTAGCTGCAGCCATTGCAGTCATTTGGTAAATGAACCAGCAGATGGACGATCTCTCTCTCTCTCCCTACACACACACACACACACACACACACACACACACACTGAATGGACATCAGACAAGAACAAACAAAACCAGCCAGGGATCCTTGATCTAGCACAGATGGACAAGCTGCTTAATCTCCCAAAACCCTAACCTGACCCATTCCATTCCCTCTGGAGAGTTGGCTCCTTTCAGTTAGCTTCAGCCATCTGGGCCATCTGCACCAGAGAGAGACAAGCCATGTTTCAGAGTCCAGACCCCTCAGGCATAAATATACCTGCAGGTTCAGGAGAACAGCTTTTGGAAAAATGAACAACAGTAAATCAGTAACAATGAAAGGCTTTGACTTTAATGAAAACCAACCTAAGTTTAAATAGACTTTACTTGAAGTTTATATTTATGCTGCTTCCTAATAAAATAAAAATAATTTTAGAAAATTTAGATAGGAATTTAGATAGGGAGGCCAGCATTGCAGCACAGTTAGCTAAGCTGTCCCACATCATAGCACAGGTTCAGGCCCTGGTTGCTCTGGTTCAGATCCAGCTCCGTGCTAATGCGCCTGGGAAGGCACCCTAAGATGACCCAAGAGCTTGGGCCTCTATCACCCAGTAGGAGATGTAGGTAGGCTCCAGGCTCCTGGTTTAGGCCTGGACCAACCCTGACCATTGCAACCATTTGGGGAGTGAACCAGCAGACAGAAGATCTCACTCTTTCTCTCTCTGTCTCTAATATTCTTTCAAAAAATAAATAAATCAACTTTTAAAAAAGAAAATGTAGATAGACATTTTCATAGGAGTTAAATACAAATTAACTTTAAAAAATTATAAATTGAAAGATACAAGGCTGGCGCCACGGCTCACTAGGCTAATCCTCCACCTGCGGCGCAGGCACACCGGGTTCTAGTCCCGGTTGGGGCACCGGATTCTGTCCCGGTTGCTCCTCTTCCAGTCCAGCTCTCTGCTGTGGCCCAGGAAGGCAGTGGAGGATGGTCCAAGGCCTCAGGCCCTGCACCCGCATGGGAGACCAGGAGAAGCACTTGGCTCCTGGCTTCGGATCGGGGCAGTGCACCAACCATAGCAGCCATTTGGGGGGTGAACCAATGGAAAAAGGAAAACTTTTCTCTCTCTCTAACTCTGCCTGTCCAAAAAAAAAAAAAAAAAAAAAAAAAGAAAAGAAAAGAAAAAGAAAGAAAAGAAAGAAAGGAAGATATGCGTGCTCTCTATTAATAGTCATGCTCTCAGCTTTATTATATCCATTATTTTGGTTTCTTGTTTTCTGCAGACTAAAATATGACATTGTCGTCCAATAGCAAAGGCAGAAGTAAAAAGATGAGTTGTCATCTTGGCTTTTTCAATTCAAAGAATCAAAGACTCACAACAGAGGAGAAAGAGGCCACATGACACAGCTTGTTTTGGAGGACTTTTGACTGTGATTAAAGGGAAATGTCCCTTCACTCAATTACTCAGCCTGCCAACTTCTATCAAGCGCCTTTCACGAGAAGCAGAAAAGGCATTCTCTTCTATAGCCCGTGTCACCATAAATTACTCGGGACCTTTTATGACACAAACATCTACTTCTCGAACTCAAAGAGCGTTACGTGCGTTCTACTGCTGTGAGACACTGTAAACCTCAGTCTTCCAAAAGCCCAGCACTCTGGTAATGACAACAAAGGGGCAGGCTGGTTGCTTATAACTGGTTCTCTTCTTTGTCTGCTCAATCGGCTCTGACTCTTTACTTTCCCAAAAATATGATGGAACTGGAAAGAGAGAGTTGGCTGAAAGAGAATACAACTTTTAAGAAAAAGAAGGAAGGGAAGTGCCTTCCCCTTCGGTCTCATCCCTCAGCAAGGAGAAAACAAGAAACCAATTATATCAGCTCAAAAGAAGCACAACCAGGCAAGAATTATCGACTTAAGTGTCCCAGAGCGAAACACGGAAAACAAATAATTTCCCCGACGAGACCTGACGGCTTTCACCAGTCGTTCCCCTAAATCTTGTCTCCTCCAGGAAGTGCTGTAAATAAGATCTCAAGAAGACACTGGCTACCCGGCAATGAAGCAATCCTCCGCTCCCCGGGGCTCCCACTTCAGGAGGAGTTGGCCGTGAGCAACAGTTTCACGGCTGCTTAGAGAAATCCCAGGAGAGGCGGGAGGAAAGGAAAGAGGCCAGATGGGTACTCTTTGGGGGCTGTAACTATCGTACACATCGCAGCTGCTGGGCAAGCCTTCCACCACTTCTCTACTTCTCCATTCCTGCCAGCTCTGTCTGAGATCTTCTCTGCAATTAACGGACAGAAACACAAAATCAAAGCCATCCTACTGACTCCGGTTCATTAAAAGACAACCTAACGATAATACTTCAGAGTTTTCCTACAGGCATTTACTAAGCTACTAAGCACGATCGACTTAAGTATGAATTGCTAGTGAAAATCTTTCTGCCTACATGATTTCTGCTCATTAAAAAAAAAAGTAACTTTTTAAAAATGACTTGCCGCCAGCGCCGCGGCTCACTAGGCTAATCCTCCACCTTGCGGCACCAGCACACGGGGTTCTAGTCCCAGTCGGGGCGCAGGATTCTGTCCCGGTTGCCCTCTTCCAGGCCAGCTCTCTGCTGTAGCCAGGGAAGGCAGTGGAGGATGGCCCAAGTGCTTGGGCCCTGCACCCCATGAGAGACCAGGAGAAGCACCTGGCTCCTGACTTCGGATCAGCGCGGTGTGCCGGCCGCAGCGCGCCAGCCGCAGTGGCCACTGGAGGGTGAACCAACGGTAAAGGAAGACCTTTCTCTCTGTTTCTCTCTCTCACTGTCTACTCTGCCTGTCAAAAAAAAAAAAAAAAATGACTTGCCTTGGATAAAAGATGAACAGTGCATCATCTCCGGTATACCAGCATTCATAAGCATTTGAGACAGGTGGATTCGTTGCGGGTATTTTATATATTATATATATAATACTAGGTAACATCCTTTCACACGTATACTCAGCCCAATTTTGTTCCCTTCTCAGCCCGCTTCAACCATAAACACACAGCTGTCACTGCCTCAGTCTTTGGGAACCCAGGGCCTCACTGATTTGGCAAAGAACACAGATTTTTGCTCTCAATGCACCCTCTCAGCCAGTGCTGGCCAACAGAACCTTCTGCACTGATGAAAATGGTATTTGTCTGTGCTGTCCAGTATGGTAGCCACTAGCCCCGTGTAGCTACTGAGCACTTGGAATGTCACCAGTGCAACCAAAGAACTGAAGTTTAGCTCATTTTCATTTATAGTCAGGGGCTAATATTTACTGTACCGGAAAGAGCAGCTCTAGGGAACAGCCCAGTTACCCCCTGCCCCAGAGAAGGCGGGGGGGCACCGCTGCCTGTCACTTTTGGATTATTTTAGGTCCGTTCTATCGGCCCTTCTCGTCACTCTGAAACTTTCCAGTGGTTTTGATTTTTCCTCCTTCCTTCCTTCCTTCTAGCTCTGTTCATTTCCTGTCTATCCCTAAATCAACATCCATTAAACTAAGTTTACATAAAAACCTCTTATATGACACCAAGGCCAGCTGCAATTACACATTAACTGCCCAGGAGATGAACCGTTCAAAGCAAAAAGTTACCAACAGTTTATATATCCACAAATCCATGCCAGAGGTGAATTAAACAGATGCTATGGTTAGCACATGCATTACAATAAGGATATTTTTAAAAGGAGATTCTATCAAGACTAAAGATTCTCTAGTAAACCCCTACTAAAACTTTTCCCCAGCCCAGACTGGGGACACTTGTTTGCAAGCCCTCTGGGCCCCTCCTGCCCAGTGAAGTCAGGGGCACTCCAGGGCACTGAGCTAATCCAGGATGAGTCTGAGGTCAAAGCATGGTCTTCAGAGGAGAGTGGAAGGGGACTGTGCAAGATAAAACCCAGCCCTTGGCTCCGGCACTTGCCCAGCTTCACTTTCGCCTAACATTCTAAGGACTAGGAAGAGGAACAAGGAGAAGAGAAAGCCCCAAGGCAGCCACTCTTCATACTCCCACATGGTGACCAGAATGTGCCTCCCCGCGTACCGTGGGTTGTCCTCCAAGAGTCACTGCAAAGTGAAAGAAACAATTCAGGTCTGCAGGACGTTTCACAGGGGGAAAAAAAACCAGAAAGCCGTGAACCCATAAAAGTAAACTCAAACATGTTTGCCTGAAAAACAGACACTTTTAATAATAAACTGGATGCCTAGACATTATCCAGCAATGCAAAGCACTGACGCATTAGTGCCCGGCCACACTGAGTGAGTGTTATTGGACAGACTACTTCCCCAGAGGTCACGCCAGGAACAGCACGCGTGAGGCAGGGTCAGAATGCAAAATCCCTGCCTCCCAGGCTAATGTTCAGACCACTTGGCCACAGCGTCTCCCTTGTGGCAGCTCATTTATCAGCCACAAATAATTTCCCTATTACTTTCCTAAACAAGAGTGGCGCATCTCAGCACAGAACACAAGGCTCTGTCCATTTTAAGAAGAAGAACACGCACAGTGCAGCGAGTGTTATATAATCAACGGAACGCAGCCCAGCCATGGCAACCTAATGGGGAGCGCATTCTTTCCCACCATTCTCAGTGATGTAATTGTATAGACCCCTGGCTCGGGTTCACAGCATTACTAACCCAGCTTGAATGCTGCTGACTTTGTCCAAACCCTGACGCTTAAGGAAACTGCACAGTAACAGGACACCATGACAGGCTCCTTAAATCCCATCCATGAGGGGCTGGTGCTGTGGCACAGTGCTGGCCCCAGAATTCCATCTTTTATAAAATATATATTGTGTACGATTCAGACCCAGCTGCTTCACTTCTGATCCAGCTCTCTGCTATGGCCTGGGAAAGCAGTGGGAGATGGCCCAAGTGCTTGGGTTCCTGCACCCATGTAGGAGACCCAGAAGAAGCTCCTAGCTCCTGGCTTATAGGATCAGCACAGCTTCGGCCATTGCAGCCATTTGGGGAGTGAACCAGCGGATGGAAGACCTCTCTCTCTCTCTGCATCTGTAACTCTGCTTTTCAAATAAAAATCTTAAAAAATAAAATCCCACCCATGCCAAGCAGCTGGTAAACAAAATGCTCTTACAGGTGCTTTAGCCCACACCTAAGGGAGCTACGTAGGCAGCCAGGCTGTTATGCAAGTAGCAGAACCTGGAAAGGTTTTACTCACGTTACAGCCAAAGCTCAGCCATCTGTAAAGTGTAATGAAATTCACATTTTTGCCCATGTAGCTGCCATTTCATAAGGTGATTATTTCAAGCTCAGACATTAGGTACTAAAACAAATATCTACAAAATTTAAAGTGCTTTTTATAGTAACAAAAACAGACATGCAAATCAGAACCCGCTTCTTGTTTCAATTAAAAGATGATGTTCTCATTCTGCACCATCTCCATCTTTCTATTCTTTATAAAACATAAGAAAATAAAAGTAATACAGACACATTCTGTAAAGCAAAAGAGGAAACATTCAGGCTTTGGAGAACCACATGGTCTCCACTAAAACTAAACTCCTGTCACTGTAGCTCAGAAGCAGCCACAGATGACATGTGAATGCATGGGCAATGACTGTATTCTGATAAAACTTTATTTGCAAAAACAGTGAGCCAGATTTAACTCATAGGCCACAGCCTGTCAACCATTAATCCAGAAAGTGAGTTATTTTCTTCAATGCTCATATCATCTTCAACTTATGCTTCACTTCAATGGATTATTAAAAAATGGATGAAGCCGAAGTTGTTGCATTGGAGGTTAAGCCATGGCCTGCAACACCAGTGTCCCACAGGGGCACAGGTTGGAGCTCTGGCTGTTCCACTTCTAATCCAGCTGCCTGCTCATGTGCCTGGGAGAGCAGCAGAAGACGGCCCAATGCTTGGGCTCTGTCACTCACCAGGGAGACCCAAATGGAGTTCCAGACTCCTGACCTCCTCCTGGCCCAGCCCTAGCCACGGAAGCCATTTGGGGAATGAACCAGTGGATGGAAAATTGATCTCTCTCCTCCTCTCTCTCTCTCCGTCTCTCTCCCACTCTCCCTCTCATTCTCTCTTATCAAATAAATAAACCTCTTTAAGACAATGATGATGCACTGCCATGAAGATTTAGCAGACCAAGGTTCTAAATACATCACCCCAGTACAGGTCATGTTTTCTTGAACTAACCAGTGCACAGAGAAGGTCCACAGCCTCCAGCACCAGCTCCTGGTGTCCGATGCGCGTGACCCCCAGCTCCTCAAGATCCTGGTGGGAAATCCGCAGCAGCTGCTCCCCATCGATCTTCTCCCGCTCAAACTTGTGGACGTACGGCTGCAGGCAGTCATCCAACCCTACCAGGAAAACAAAGAGGCCATGATCGTCACCTTGTACTTTAACCAGAAAGTTGGCATACGAACATCAATCTCAGCAATCACTAAGTGTGCTGTCACTATTTCATTATCTATAGAACGTCTATTCCACCTGATAGGTGACATCTTCTTATCTCTAACAGGTTTTAAACGGGCAGCACAAAATTCTCAAAGGGATCCGGCACAGAATTATCCGAGTTACTTTCCCATTCCCTGTAAACTAAGGGAACAGACACTTAACCCCCAATGGCAGGAAATGCTAGGTATGTGTACCAGACGTATGTTGTGTGAGCTAAGCAACCCTTCCTGTGGGATACCATCCCTCTCCCATTCGTGGAATCCTGGCAGGCTTGCCAACCAGGGCTCTTTGCCACAGTGGCTGTATGTGGTCAAGCCATCCACAGTACCCCATACGCCAGCCAGTTGTGGGTCAGGGATGGCCATACCACTCAAGCTGCACCAAAGTCACCCTTCATATTTGATGCATGGACACAAGAAGGCAAAAGCTCTTCCTGTCCATGTGGGAGTCACAGGATACAACAATGCTGGCAGTCAGTTTTCAAAGACTAGATCCCACAGAGAGAGAGAGAGAGAGAAAGACAGAATGTCCCAATAGTATCCCATATGCCCCAGGATCTAATCCTGCTTAAAGATACTACTAGCCCTCAAAATTTTCACTTAAGTTGAAATAAATTTCCTTTTTAGCTTAAACTTGTGGGTGTTGAGTTTCAGTCCCTTGCAACTAAAACACTTCTGACAGATACAGCACTAAATGGGGAAGGTAACAGCAGCAATAGTGGTGACATTAAATGGGTCTACTTATGGGAGTTTGTCCAGGTCAAATGCTACTGCCAACAGTGTTGTGTTCCAGTGCTCTTATATAATGGCTAAAATGGGTAAGCCAAATAGAACTTGGGAATCTATTTCTGCACACAGAACTCTCTGGTCAACTTTTTAAAATGATTTACTGAATAAAATTTTACTTTCAATCAATTAATCCCTTCAAGCCATATGATAAATGTTTTAAGGATGGATTTGTATATATATTTCATTCCAACGCAAAGGATGGGCACTTAATTTAACTAGAACAAAATGTGTGGAAGACAGGCTGCTGTCTCTCACTCCCCAATGTGCATGCGCACACACACACACACAAACACACAAATGCACAGGTAGACACATGTATGTATTAACACTTAATGTGGTGTTTAACTTATGTGGGTATCTCCCTGGGCTAGAAACAGTAGACACAAGGCCCAACCCTGACTTCTACAATACTGAAGTCTGTGGATCTCAAAGTCTGATGGGTGAAGTCAACTTACATCTCTGTCTCACAAACTTTCACTATTTGCCCTGATAAGACAGAGGAAGAAGACCAAGTTTCTGATAATAGTTTGAGGCTATCAAACACAGGAAATAAGAGGAAATTTCTTTTAGGGTGACCATCTGGGAACAACACATGCTCCTTAAGTAACATCTGTCCCACCAGGGTCTCCAGCTCAGAGCACACGAGGCTGGACACGGACACAGAACTCAGTGCACTCCGATGGTCTCCAGCCACAAGTCGGGCTGGCGGTGAGGGCCAAGCCAATCAGCAGGGGTTGAGACCCAGGCCCCGCCCGGGCTGCAGAGGCTCAGTATCAATCTGCTGCAGGCACCAGTGACAGGGACCACACTGGACACCAGCATCCTTCCTATCCGTCCCTGGTACACAGGTGAAGAAATGAGGGCATCAGCTGGATACAGACCAAAAAAAAAAAAAAAAAAAAAAAAAAAAAAAAAAAAAAACCGGCTCACATAAGCTGGCTCCCTCTGTACCCCACCTGGCAAACACAGGACTGCAACAAGGAATCATAAAAATTCTCTCAATGCATCTAAGTCAGCGGCAAGGTCTAATTACAAAACAGTATTAAAATAGAATCACTGAATCTAGAGTTACTTAAAAAGTACTTCGGATCTGCATCCAAAATTGGGCAAGTTCAGCCAAAAAAGTCAATGACTGTGAATTTTACTTTCAGTTAGCCAGCTCCAACTCAGACCACAACCAGACCCTGTATTCTCCTTTCTTGTAGGATTTTGTCTTCCCTAGCCCACTTTTCACCATTTCAAAAAATTTCTGATATAAACTGTCATGAAACTTTCAAACAACTCATGTCAGACATTTAAACTCTTAGAGCTGAACTGCATCCTCCCAAAAGTCATAGGTCAAATTCCTAATCCCCAGTACTTCAGAATAAAGAGGTTAAAGGTTAAAGGTTGCGATCAATCCCCATGAACAATGTCCTTATAAGAAAAGAAGATGAAGACCCAAATAAATGCAGCCGGAAGGCCCCATGAAAACACAGAAAAAGGTGGTCATGTGCAAGCCCAGGGCAGAGGACAGGGGAGACACCGACCCTGCTGGCACCAGGATCGCAGCATTCCCACCTCCAGACCTGTGAGAAAACAAGAGTCTGCTGTCTGTGCTTGTAGGTTACGGCAGCCACTATAGCAACCAATGCAAGTCCAGTAACATTTTTGTTAATCTATCAAAGTGTAGTAAACTTTTTCTTAAACACAATAAATAAGGCCAGTGACCAGTGGAACTGAACTGATGATTACTGTGCTAAGCAGGCTCACTGCTCAAACCAGAAGCATAAAACTGAAATCCATATTAATTTTCAGGTGTAGAATGTATCAGTCCATCAAAATTAAAGAAATCAAGTACAGGGGCCAGTGTTGTGGTACAGGGGTTAAGCTGCGGCTTCGGATGTTGGCATTCCATACAGAGGCTGGTTGGTGTCCTGGCTGCTCCACTTCCAATCCAGCTCCCTGCTAATGTGCCTGAGAAAGCAACAGAGAATGGCCCAAGTGTTTGCAATCCTGTACCCACGTGAGAGACCCAGGTGGAGATCCTGGCTCTTGCCCCAGCCCTGGCCATTGCAGCCATTAGGGGAGTAAACCAATGGATAGAAGATCTCTCTCTCTCTCTCTCTGTCTCCCCCTTTTGCTCTTTTTCTCTCTGTAACTCTGACTTTCAAGTAAATAAATAAATCTTTAAAAAAAAGAAACCATGTATAATAGTTGTTCATTAAACTTCATCCTGGAATAATAAGGAAGCCAGATTTTTTTCCTTTTCTAAAAAATATATTTTCATTTTATTTGAAAGGCAGAGAGAGAGTGTGTTTCTATCTGCTAGCTCTCTGCCTAAATGCCTGCAATGGCTAGGGCTGGGTCAGGCCACGCGCAGGAGCCCAGAACTCAGTCTGGGTCTTTCATGTGAGCGGCAGGGCCCTAAGTGCTCGGACCATCATTCGCTGCCTCCCAGGTGCACAACGGCAAGAAGCTGAATCAGAAGTGGAGGAGCTGGGACTAGAACCAGGCACCCTGATGTGGGACACAGGTGTCCAAGCAGCAGCTCAACACAGAATGCCCACCCGCTCCCCCAAGACTTCTCTTTCAGTTAACTGGAAAATCGGCTGAAGAAATGAAATTTCAGAAGCAACTTCAGATAATTAAGACAACGGCTGAGGCACAGCAAAGAAGGTTAGATGGGAAATAAGGTGATGGCTACAGATAAGAGCACGGGGTGCAAATGAGACTGAGAACTAAACACAGGACATGAAGAAACAGACCAGAGTCTCCTGGAGGATTCTCAGGGACCGGCAACAAGGTCAGCTCAAGAAATCCAAAGGTCCCAGAGACATAAGAGATTACCAAGTAGAGACATCACGCTGCTGCTACCCAGAGAGCAGCACAGTCCACTGTGGCTCCAGGCCTCTGCCCTGCAGGCACACGTACATGCAATACACTAGGCTTTAAATAGCACTGCCCGGGAGTTTTATCATTCCAATGCATTATGATCTATTGTGCAGTTATGCTATTGTTTAGAAGACAATTAAACATTTATAAACGGCTAAATTAAACTATTACACACTCCCACAAAGCAGGGGGACAGCCTCAACAATTCCAGCTAAACTGATCAGAAGTTTTAGAAGTGCAGTGCTTCAGCTGCTCATATTTACTTGTCAAATGCACCTATTCGCCGGTTTGTTGCTTCAAGGAATTTACAGACATCTGAAGAAAATTAAACACATTCCGTTTACACAAATTAAATGAAACACGTAATTAAATGTGACAGAAAACAGAATGGGAGCCACATTCGAGAGGGAACCCAGACTTCCCCAATCCTTTCTAAGTCTGGCTATAAATAACCCTATACTTTCAAAAAAAAAAAAAAAAAATCCCAAATACAAGACGGACAAAGCCAGTCTCTCAGCCCGGGTGCAGAACTCGACAACGCAGTGGGTAAGAGCCTGAGTTCCAACCCTAGTCCTCTTCTTACTGGCCTGGGGCAAGTTCCTCATTTGCCTCCTCTGTGAAGTGGGAACACTAACACTCCCCACTGCATAGAACTGTCCTGAAAATTCAATATTAGCATCTATGAAGCATTCAGCACACTGTGGAGAACACAGTAAAAATCCTATAAATTTTGTTAAGGGAAAAAAAAAAAAAGGTGATTTCCTCAAGTCCTCAATTTTCCCAGCGCTCAGAATAAAAGTTGCTAGAGGAACAGTTAATTGGAAATACAACACAACCTTAGCCTGTATTGTCACCTTCCCTAGGGAGTGTCTCCGAATTTGGGAGCCTATAATAATCATTGGTTTCACCTAAAAAGAGTTTACGGTTAATATCAGAATACAAGCACCACACAAGCAGAAAATTCGCTTGGTTCAAGGCATATTCCACCAGCCAGCAGAGCGTCACTAATGCCCAGTAAGTCTTTGTGAAATAAACAAATGGGTGCACAAAGAAAGACCAGAAACTTCACATAAACATTAGGGCCACGTAAGTAACTAAAGAAAGATACAGAAATCCTTGATTGTGCTACCAGCCACAGATAGTTGCTGCTGGTTTCGATGTTCCCAAATTAAAAGAGGTGATTTCCACATAACAGGAAAAGTCATAAACCAAACCCCAAACCTCTCAGGCTGGGCCTTTGA